TTCCATGGGAGTTGTGGCTCTCGTTCTCGGCTGCTTGCTCATATCTTCAGCGTCCCTGCCAATTCTTGAAGATGTGCCTCATCTTAGAAGCCGAATGATGCCGATAACGCGTAGCGTTCGAACTCCGAAGGGCGTCACGACTCAATTCCCATGCTGATTCAATGAGGTTTCTGATCGAAACGAAATGACTGTAGACTACAAGGTACTCTCCCAGGACATCGAGCCTCGACAGAAATCCCCTGTCTATTGGAAAATTTCCTGCAATTGCCGAACTGATGTACTATCTTAAAATCTTCATGCGACAGATTGGAGACACTTGCCCAAATACCTGATTTGACCAAATACCAGCGCTAAGAGGACACTCGCGAAGGAAGATTTTGAGCTCGGTGCCCGTGAGAGACGTCGCGATGCAGAATCGCGTGTTCTGCTTCGCGGCCGTCACTTTCATTACCATTCATTGAGCGATCCATCTGCATCTGCCGAAGATACATCCAACCGAGCAATCGGAAACCCGATCCATCAGCCATCTCCTCGATCGCTCAGCGAGGCAATTCTCAGAAGGGCGTTGCATTCGGTACAGAAAATTCCGTCCCTGCAAGGACAACCAATCCGAGGAAGTCTCGAGGCTAATCCCCGGAAATCCGCGCTTCGTGTGGGAGTCGACGAACATCGTTCGTTCCGACGGAGTTTAGTCAACGAGAAGCTTGTGAAACTTCCCAGGAACATTTGAACTCTCAAGTGGCTACTTCGTTTCTCAGATTGACTTCTCCTCCTCCGGTGAATGGCGCTGCGCCGCTTACGTCTCCCGATAGAATGCCCATCGGCGGATCTCAATAGGCGGCCCTGAGAAATCGCTCGCTTCTGCAATACTCACAGAAAATTGGAGAGGCGCGAAAAATGTGTCGGATCATAGGACCACTGGCATCGGGAGAAGATGAGACGTGAATTCGCGGAAGAAAGCAAAAACAACAAAGACCATTGTGTGCATGATCAGGTTCGCCCGTCTGTTGTTGCTCAGCTATTCAGCGCATCTTCAGAGCGCAGATGAAGCTCCGTGCTCGGTCCGACATTCCGCTCGGAATTCGTCGACTTATCAGTCAGTCTGAGGTGGGGGTGGGAGGTGGGAACAATAAGTTCGGGCTTCTGACATCAATGATGACGCCGATGATCGACTCCCTTGCCCACTCGGAGCGCATCGTCGAGCTTGTGTAGGAGCCGTGGAGCTTATCGAGCGAGCATGCTTCGAATCCCTATGTCGGCAATTATACGAAATTCAACGTTCGGGGGAACTTCAACGCGATAATGGAAAATGCAATTCTTCCTCAATCTTATCTCCGCCCCTATTGACGGCTGCCTCAAGTACGCGCACTTATCGCAGACGCGAGGAAAAGCATTTGACGCGGATTCATGTTTTTGGCTTTTACATAAGTCCCCCGCCATATTCGACATTTTTGTGCTATGAGTTGTGACTCGGCTTGAAAGACGCGGAGGAGGAAGAAAGGGGAAGCCATTTCCTTACGAGATGTGGAAGTTTTTTGTTTTCTCGATTCGCACTAGGATCATGGGTTTGAAACGATAAGCGCTCCACGCATTGGATTCTTTCACCCTCAACCCCGCCGTTCAACATGGGATGCACCCGGTCCGTTTGTAACGTACGCGCGTCTATTTTCTAAGAAAATTTCTCCGCTTCCTTGAGGGAGCGATGAAGTTTTGGTTTCGATTTTCTTTTTGTGCGTTCCTTTTCATTTTTCCCTTTTTCTTCGAAGAATGTCGTCTTCCGAAGATCTTCCCTTCCTGCCCGCGCCATCCGATGCCAACGATGTAACGAAGCGCGAGCACTGCGTCAGGTGATCTTCGCGGAAATTTCAGGAGCAAAAATGCGGACCGGGCGTGGATAGATGACCGTTGAGCTTTGTGCGGAGCGTGCAATGCGCGGCCCTAGACGGCAGACCTTCAATCGGGCAGATCTTCGCGGTGAATTATGAAATCGCTGCTCCGGCTCGGAATTCACACGCCTGACAGCATAGGTAGACTCAACTGAGGCAGGCCTGGAATAGGACCACAAGAAAAGGAGCGATGTGTCGATCCGGGACGGACATCGCCGGTCGCGGTCCTTGTCCAAATCGCTTGTGATCGGGAGCCTTCCTCTCGATTTCCTGCGTTTTCAAGGGGAACGAGGTGGGTCGTGCTATCCTCGAGAGCCAACACGCTCAGGTCGCTTCACCGGCCGGGCCTCCGCTTTTCATCGCTCGCTCGATGCATGGTTGAAAAGTGAAATTAGGGGGTCCGAAGACGAGGAGAATTGAAATGTGCTTCCGGGAGAATTGAAGTGTCGTCCGGTGAGCTGCTCCGCTCCCGCAGTGTGCGGCGGGGGATTTGTCCGAGCGTCTGTTGTGTTGCATCGCAACGCGCTGCAGGGTCTGACAGAGTTGTTTAGTGTGGTCCGTCGACTGATGACCGGAGCCGGGGACTCCGCCCGCGCGACGTGATTCTCCCCGATCGACAGTCGGATCCAACGATCGTTCCCCATTCCTTCCTGGGGAGCCTTTCATTCCCCTCGCTGTGTAATTCAGTGAAACTTCACGGATGATTTGCATTCTTTAATTATTATGGATGCCAGCTTTTGGAAGCGGCCATCCCGTCTGTCTCGAATAGTGTCGGACCCGGGAATTTAAAAGTCGATATAGGAGAGCAAGAACCTCTGGCGCTCATTGAAGATTGCCTCGCTATCCGTGATAGCAGACCTGGGCCCACGATGAAAGGAATACGCACGGGTTGGAGAAAGACTCGACGAAACCGGATTAGAAAATTTCCGGAAAACTGTCGTCGGAGGGCATTCACAGCCGAATGAGGTTGATAAACTCATCCGATTCAATTGCAACGGCACTTGAGATCTTATCAGTCAACGACGCGCATTTGTTGTCGCAGGTGGGCATTGACTTCTTCACGCAGAGCTCAGCTTCGATGCCGATATTGGAGTCGGCGGCAAGAACTTGCAGAACCCGTTTCTCAGATGATACTGGCGCCGGGCATCCGAACCGATACGGGCGTCACTCACGGCGTCGAAATTCTTGGACCGACTGTCCAGTTCATCCGCTCTGAGCCGTCGACATCTCGGATGTGCGGTCACTTCATTTCCGAAACCAATGTACAGACTCGCGGTACCCGATCCCTTCTCCGGTTTCTCGGTTCTGGCATGGTCTCGGTGAACAGTCTCCCAGAGCTCAGTGACTTCCCGGATTCAGGATACCGATGCAGAACACTCGACGGTCATAGGCCGCTCATTAAAGTATTGTTTCTTTTATTTCAGCTCAAATAATCGCCATCTTCAGCGACAAGGCGTCCGATTCTCGTGTTCGGGGGAAGGGAGGCAGCTAGAAACGAAGCGAGATTCTCGATGTAATGAAGTAATCACGATAAACTCACAATCCTAGAACAACATGGATCTCAGAAAAGCATCAAGGATACCTGATGGTCTCGATCAGGTAGTCTTTCGAGTGGCACTAGTCATCATCGGATTATCCGTTGGATTCGTCGAGTCGCAAAGCTGTAAGTTTTCTGAGTGTTCGCTTTTTGGATACAATATTGGTACGGAGATTCGGAACGTCTCATGACAGGGAGGAGAAAGACCGGAGACAATCAGTTCAGAATCCGATGCCGAGAAGCATAAGCGGTGTCTGACTTTTTGGAAGGGGAAAAAACGTGGAAATGGAGTGGACTAAAAATAGGTATCGAGTCGACGTTCGGCATAACGACATATTCCGAGAGTATCGATGAAGGAAAGAGACGGAGAAAATCGAAGAAAAGGGAAAAAGGAGAATATTGAAATGGCGACGCAAGGGCGCCCACACGCGTCGGATTCGGCGCCGAGTGTTGGGCCAAGCTCTGCAATCTTGATTCATCTGAAGCTCGGATCGAAACGAGTTTGTTTGTTTTGAAATTTCAAGAGAATAGAAGAAAGACAATCAAAACTATCAAAAATCACCGGAATCTCAATTTTTTCGCACGATCCACTCAGCAGCGTGGTCGAAGCTGAATTTCCATTGACCGTCCTGCGAATATTCCAAAGTCAACGCAGGATCAAGGTCGACGGTGGTAAAAATTGAATCAGCCGTCGGAAATCGTTGGCACGGGATGAAACCAGACTGAAAGTGTTCCCCGGAGCTAGAACACGAAATCCGCTCACGGAATCCGCACAATCACATCTGCGAGCAGGACAAGCCAGCGAACAGATGACAAAGTCCCGAAATAAGGATATTGTCTGGGTTCTCCCAACGCGAGTCACTGATCGATGCGACGCCCTGAGCATTCAAAAATGCTCATATGCAAAGCTCATAACCTTCAAATCGGATTGAGCCCAACAGCAAGGATCTGTCGCTCCCTTCATCTGTCTATCCCTCTGGCATCCATCTACTCTCTCAGAAACTACGAATGAGGAAAATCCTTGAGGAACTTCGCCACCGCAAACCAACGACGTGGAACCTCTAACGAGCCGGAGATGAGCTGAAGCGAGGCCCATGAAGCGACTAATGATAGAGGAGTAAAGCAAACAAGACTAGGAGACTTAAGAGCTGAGTCGGTGCGGCAACGTGAGCGTCGCTAGCCTGTACAGTTCAACTAAGACACCGTGAGCCTTCCGAACACAATTGGACATCATTCATACGGAGAGGCGCATAATTCTTTCTGCATCGCAACGCCGCTCAACATCTACCGCGCTTACGAACGCCGCAGCTCGTGATTTATTCGATTCTATCGTACAAGCTGTCAAGAAGCGACCGAAAAGCGCCGCAGACGGTGATCTACGCACTGCTTTCATGTCGATAAGGAGCCCCCTTCGAACCTTGATGAACTTCCATTGAACGAAGTTCTCAGTGGAACAAACGCACCTAATCAAAACGAGATCGCAAGGCTCGGGCAAAGATGAGGCTTTTGAGGTCCGCGAAGATCGTCCAGGATTTTAAGAAGCGATTCAAAATCAGGAGAGCCCTTCAAGCATCCCTAAATTTGTCCATCGACTTTTATTTACATCTGAAACCAGTAAACCCACGATGATTGTCCTTTAATTTCTCGTTTTTCAAATCCGCACCACTTTCACTCGAGATGAGTCCACCACCGAGTCGCCTTTGAAGGGAGCGATGTCTAGTATCGCATAACTACCGGCGTCCATACCTTTCACGAGACTGCCTGGATTGACAACCATGGTTCTCTCCTCCTCGAAAGCAAACGGTGCGACAGTCGCCGGCAACACGAGAATATGCGGCCTCACGTCGAACATCATTCGATTCAATAGCGGTAATCTCAAAGCGAGTTCCGCGTGCGGAGGGAAAAGCGGATAGAAGCTGCGCTGCTGGAGCAGCGCCCGCGCACAAAAGCGGTTCACGTCGAGATTTTCCTCGACGTTGACCAGAGACTCGGTCATTCCACGAATGATATCCGTCGACGAGACTCCGATCTGGATTCCGTTCACATCTAGAATGGCGGGATCGTTCAGACAAGTTACGCGGCTGTCGGCGGGGAGGCAGTAGCGTTCGGTTGGAAACGCTCGACTGGAGCCGTGGTTCTCCCTATGGTTGGCTACAATATATAATCGGGTATTCTTCCCGGTGAGCTTGTTCTCCAGGTGGGCGATGAGTTGCAGAAAATATTCTTCAAAGGAGCAATCGAGGTTCGTCGAGAGCTTCTTGTGGTTGGCATCGACGAATGGGCCGACGAGTATCGCCAGATCGGGCTCTTCTCGGATCAATTGTTCAATGAAATCATGGTACGGCTCGTATGACATCGTATCGAGCGTTGTGTAAGGTCCAGCAACGACTAGAATCCTGAGACCAGACTTCAAGTTCACCGGAGACGGCAGGGGTGGGAGCTCCGGCTCGAAGCTTTCGTCCAGAAATCGAGCCTGGTTCGCCGGGTTGCCGACTTTGGCCAGGATTACCTGACCTGGAAAGGCGGGGAACTTCGGGAAGACCGGTGTGCTTGACGAGCGAGAGACCTCATAGTCTCCGTACAGGAGAAAGGGGAGGTTCGGTCTTTTCGGAGGACGCAGCATTCCGTAAACGATGTCACCGTCCGAGAGGAAGCCCCCGCTAATGTCTTTCAAGTCCTTGTCCGCGAGAGCGAAGGACTCCTTCATCCGACCCAGGCGCTCGAGCACCGCAAGATTCATCTCAGTGCGATTCTTGTTCTGAAGACGGCCTTGGACCTCCACGTCGTTGACAGGCCTGCTGTCTGCAGAGAAGACAGGATTGAGAGACTGAGTCGAGCGGCAAAATCTGTGTATGCGAAGGACTTTGATTGGGTGCGCGAAAGACCACCCGTAGGAGAGTCGCAGAACTTACCGATTTTCTTGACCTGTGGGTTTTCGAATTCCGCGAAGTCCCGTCCCTTGTAGCTAGCAACCACTTGACCAGTGCGTCTTCCGGACTTGTAAACTCGGGCTGGCGTCGAATCGGTTCCGTCGGTAAAGGAAGCACACAGCGGATTGCCGTTGTTTTGCCTTTTGGGGGTTGATAGGGCGGGGGAAAGAATCGCCGACGTAACGGATCTGAAAACGGTTCTTAGCATCAGATGATCACGAATGTAGGTGACTTCTCCACCGCATACCCTGGCTGATGTTGGAAAACAAATAGCACCTCTTCTGAGCACCGTGGCTGGGCGTTTTCGGAGGCGGTGGGACGCTTTGTTTCTGCTTCTCGAAATCCAATATCATTTTTTCCAACGTTTCGGTGTTGTACGTGATGATCGCTCCTTTCGCCCATGCGACCCAGGCATCGCAGAAGTCTGATGGCCCCAGCGAATGTTTTTTGCAAAATTGAAGACATCGCTCTGGTATGATGTCCTCGGCAAATTCTATCCCGAAGAGAGAAAATTCCTGGAAATACATTTCTTGTTTCGGAACGACGCGGTCTCACGACGATCATTGCTGCTCAAACTCATCTATGCTCTCGACCGAGACAGACTATAAACCGGATCGGACCTCCGTCTCCAATCATTCGAATCGGGATTGGAATTGGAATTTTTCACGTATGTTCCATTCATGCTCGAGGATTCGAGCCGAGGAGATTGTGTTCGCGCGCCGGAAAATTCGGAACGCCTCATGACTACCCCATGAGAAGAATCGTACCTGAACTACATCGTCCCAGGTGAAATCCATTTCCGATCTTGCGCTAAGATGTTCACAGCCACTTCAATACCTCCGGATCATGGGTCACAACATTTCACAGAATGAAACTCCGGAGCGATTTGGCGCCAATGCGAGTCCAACTACGACCACTGTGGCGCGCGCTTCCTCCTCGCCCTGTCAAGAACCTCGTCTCAAGGTTACCCAACGAATTTCGACGACCGTAAGACTCCGCGAAGCGTCTCCTCCTGGATCTCAACATCGTCCGACACGGTCCGGTACCAGCGTATTCGCCGAGCTTCGGTCGAACGTCACCGACGATTCAGTGAATCCAACGACGACCGCGGGAACTCGGGCGACCCGCCGCATCATCATTCGAATCAGCTGTTCGCCTACCCTGCTGCTGTCGTATAAAGATTCCGGTGATTCGTGAATAAGATGGGACCTACGAGAGTTCCGCTGGTGATATTCCGAGCGTTGAGCAGTAAAGCGCGGTCGTGTGTACCCCAGGAACCAGTATTCCGAAAGCTGAAAGAGCATCCTCGTGTGGAAATCCCGATACAGACGGTCCATCTCCTCGAGAGATTGTCTCTAGTTCGTTTCGGGGAAGCCGAAGCAGTCACGCGGCTGGAAGAAGCAGTGAAGTTCGCTCAGGTGAGCAGTCTTATCCAGTTTCGAAGGAAGAATGCATCATATGACGAAAACGCGACGCCGACGGCACGGTAGATAGTTTATCCAGATGCTCCGGTGAGGTATTCTACCACTCAGTGCGCGAATTCTATTTTAGGCGATTTTTGACGTTGACACTTCGAATGTAGAACCAATGCACACTGTGCTCGAAAACAGAAGTGTTCCTCTGAGAGAAGACCGTCCACAGAGGTGGGACCCAAAGCTGGTTCTCAATAATGTCACTAAAATGGAAGAAGGTTTCATTGTTGCGCCGCCGGGGAACATTGCCCTGAAGGAGGATGAGCGTCTAAATGATTTGAGGAGCTGAGGAAGCCGCTCAGCCGAAGACTGTCGGTTTTAGTCATTATTAAGCGTATCAGAATAAACATGAAACCATTTTGCGTGAGCGTCTTCCGAAGCACCCGAGTTTTCATTAGTGTCTCCGGTTCAGAAACCTCGGCCAAGAGGTGGGGTCAGAGTGAGCTGAATCGACTTCCGGCGGATACAATGATTTCGCGAGAAACGAATGGCGAATCTTCAGCCTCCGTGAAAGATTGCAGAACGGGCTCAGAGCGGTTGTATCGCACTCCATTACTGCTGCCGGGGGACTCAGCAGCAGAAAATTCTCTCAAATTGAGATGGCGAGCAAGATTCTCGTTTTCTGCAGCGCAATGGTGCGTTGCTGCGACAGACTCTTTACGAAGTTTCTCCCCTCATGGTTTTCTTCAACTCCTCAGCAGTTCCCAGCCTGCAGAACACCCCGTTGGACCCAGTACTATCGACCGTGGGAGATGAAGCTCTGATTGATTGTGTGGTTACAAACCAACAGAACTACTCCGTCATGTGGAAAAGACTCTCTGATGGGGACAAAGGAGTCATTCTCACGGTTGGAACGACCCGTGCTAATGGAGACAGCAGATTCTCTGTGTTGCACAACAAAAGTGAGTATTTATCTCCTCCACACGGAAGGGGGAAAACGTAGACTCTCTCGGTGGATCGGACGGGGCCTCTCGCGGCAAAGCGATGGATACCCAGCGTTCTCAAGAGGGATGAAGCCCGAATTTTCCTTGAACATCCTCTGGGTGCGGAACATGGGAATTAGGAACGGTTTTCAAAAATCGGTACAAAAAAAATGGTTCTCGGCTTGGAGGGTATAATCGATCGGGTCGCGGCTAGCTAGCATTCGGAATGACTTCTCACATGGGTAGAAATGGTTTGGGACACCAACCGGTGTCTGAAATGTGAGATGATATCGGCTTCAGCACTTCCTGCTCTGATCAACGCATGGTGTACGTGGCATGAACAGACTCAGCTAACTACTTTCCCTTTGCATGGGATGGACGCGCCTGCAGATAACGAAACAGGTGAGTTTACGACAATGAGTCATTTTCAACAAACCTATGGGAGGAGTATTACGATTCTGGATCCCTAATGGGTATCCATTCTGCAAGTCATTGGCTTGTGCTACACAATATTCTGCATCGAGTCTCAAGAACAACAATCGAGTCTCCATGCTTCATCCTCAAATGAAGCCGCTGAACTCATTTGGAGAAATACTCATTGGCTTCATTCTGTCTTTTTATTCTGATGAGCACTCATCGGAAGGCAGAATGCCATCAATAGACTCATTTCTCCACGAAGCGCATGCAGGGCACATAAATCGGGAGAAGAACAGTGACAAGCGGTGGATCGCGCGCTTGCATCGTTTCACAAGTGCGTTTTCTCGCTTTCCAACAGGGCATAACAGTTGGGTGTTGCGAATTCATCCGACACGACACAGTGATTCTGGAAGATACAGCTGTGAGTTGAACACGCAACCCCATCAAACTCTCACCAGACTTTTGACCGTGCTCCAAGAAGATGTTCCCACCAGAGAAGAAAGCGTCACGCTTAATCTAAACCATAATTATACAGGTAAGGAAAGCCCCACGCCGAACATTCTACAAAATAGCCATCGCAATAAAAATACATACATACAAGTACAATCCTCCAACTTCCTGAGAGCTACGCTTTTTTCCGCAGCCTGTTGCGCCCAGCAAGGCATTCCCCAAGAGTGTTTCGGGTATTGCACACTGCACGGCATTGTGACCGGTTCGCACAACAGTCCCCGGTCGTGCCTTGAATACATTTCTACTCTGACCGAGTGTTTGACAGACGGTAGAAATCACATGCCGTGCTGTCTGGAACAGGGAATCCCGAAGACGTGTCGTAGCGTTTGTGTCGGCGACTACTCCTTACAAACCATAACCGAACATTACAAATGCATGGACTACACCATGCAGACCCTCGCGTGTATTTCCAGTGGCATCGGTACGAACGAGGCTTATTTTAATCATTCAGCAGCATTTACATTCTCGCATATCGACGGTTTTCCGTGAGTGTCTTCCTCATGCGCCAACGCATTCTTTCCATAATCGCAGAGATTCTCCCGGGCCAACCAAAGAATGTAGAGATAGAAGCGATATCGCCAACTCAGCTGAAAATTGATTGGCTGGCGCCCCATCAACAAACGGCTGTACATAACTATATCATCAACATCACAGAACTAGCGTCGTTCGATCCCAACGTCAGTCTGATGAATTCCACCGAAGAGAAAGTGAGCATTTTATCTTTCTCGCGACAATTCGTCGACTCCAATCTTTCCACGGATCTGGCAATCGGAAGATAATTCGTCACTCTCAACGAGAAGAATGGAATAATTAGATGCTTCCCACGAAAGGAATCGGTCGAATGGAGCTAATCCCGGCGAACTTTCAGGACAAGCCGAAAGGATCCGATGAGGATAAGTCTGGCGTGAGCCTCGGCCACTCGATCAAGCTAGGGGCGAACCAGACATCGTTCACGATGCGGGGCTTGAAGCCGTCCACTATGTATCAAATATCGATATACTCACAAAATTCAGAGGGACAGTCGCTGCCGACGATACCGATTCGAATCCTAACTCTGGGCAGTGAGAAAAAACCGTCCAACCAGGGCGATATCAAGGCAGCATCAGCCAAAGAAACCATTCCGGATATCAGGGCTTGTTGCGTCGACAAAGAGGTCAAGCAGGAACGTTGTCTGAAGACAATGTGTGATCCTAGCAATTCACACGAAGCTACGTAAGTCGAGCTGACTTCGAAGCATTCTCTTTTTTTGCTTTTGGAGCGAGGATTAGGAATTTCATGCCACGACCGTCCTTAACGCTCATCGGCCGCTCGACTTCCGAAGTATTCCGCCGAAGATATTCTCTGTTGGGGCTGATGATCGTTTTTTTCCCGCAGACTGACCGACATCATGATCTGCGCGCCATGGGCGAACGTCACTTTCTCCTGTATGGCGAACAATATCGACCACACGGACTGCTGCAAGCGTCGAGGCATTCCAGAGGACTGTTTGTATTTCTGCACCGGCAAAGTGACGAAAATCGATTACAATCATTTCAAATGTCTCGAGTACATGCCATTCTACGGGAGTTGCGTCCTCGAGCATTACGGCGTTCTTCCCGGAAATCCCGTCAGGGTCACCGTCAACGGCGTCAGTCAGAAGTGGGCTGTGATTTCTTGGGATCCACCAAAGTGAGTTTTTCTGGGCTACACGAGAATCAGCATTTAACGTATGTCAATATCGATCCGGCAAACAATTCTTGGCCCGTCATTGAGATCCTCGGAGTGGAGAAGGGAACAAAAGGACAAGCCCTGATCCCCTCTAATGCTTGGACATCTTGTTGCTCTCCCAGGGAGAAACCGGAAACGGTAACTCGGTACTCTTTCTACTACCGGAAGCTCGACGGCTTCCAAGAGAACGAACCGTACTTCCAGATCTTAGGAGTCGATTCTCCCTATCTCCTTGACGGTCTGCAGCCTGGAAGCTTTTACGAGGTGTTCGTCGCTGCGGAGAACAAGTTCGGCTCCTCGGAAGGCTCTGAGCGGCTCATTATCGATACGAAGCCTGTAGATGAGGAGCCCACAAACAGCACCACGGGATACAGCGAAACTGAGTGTTGCATGGAGGCCAAACTCAACGAAGAATGCATGCCCCTGTGCAGTTACAAAGTCAAGCTCAACGACCTGCAGAGACTCGGTCCGAAGTGTATGCATCAGCTGGATATTCTCATGAGGTGCGGCGCCGGGGGTCGGGATCATTCACCGTGTTGTCAGCGATATGCTGTCAATCCCGCCTGCATCTCCATGTGCTCCGGGAAGCTCTCCGCGAACCAATACGATTCATTCAACCCGCGACTGTGCACCCGCGAAATGGGCGCCATTCTCACGGTACGGCTCTCGCTCCCGGACCGTCGGCTTTAGGAGTCCTCCTCTTGATTACTGCCTGCCTAAAGCGTGGAATCCACAACGATGCTTAATCGATTTCCCCATATTCCAGTGCATGGAGGAAGGTACAGGGAAAATACCATCGATGCCGGATGACTTCCACGTCGCTTTCACCACACCCACTTCCGTGCATCTCGAATGGCAGAAGAACCCGGATAACGGCGAAAATATAAATGTCACGAACTATAAAGTTTTCTACACTGAGGTCTTCGGAGATATCCCTCCCACTCCTCTCAACTACACAATGGTACGTCAGACTCGTGCCTCTGATAGAGACATGGACTCTGAGGCGTCCCTCGAGGACCGCGATCCTCGTTCCCGCCACAATTCGGGAGCCAAAGCCAAGTCCATATCCGATCTTTCCAGAACATCACAGTGAAAGCCCCGATGGCAATAATCAACGGCCTCAAAGAGAACACCAAATACAGCTTCTACAGCATAGCCACGAACGAATTCGGTCAATCGACGCCGTCTCTCATCTTGCTGGTAACCACGCCTACGAGTGGTGTCAATGAGAAGAGGTAGGTTTCGTGGAGCTCGTGCTGTACAGCTGAAACATACATGACTTCTGTTACTCGATGAAAAATGGATGGATTTTTACAGAGTGGACGCGGTTCTGAGTCCCCCGTATGGCGTGGAAGTCATCCATTCCACCGTTCGTACGATCGCGGTCAAATGGCAGCCTCCGATCCACGTGCCGCCGCATCAAGAAATTCTCTATACGGTCTACTATCAGGCGACCAATGCCACGGGCAATGTCACGGAACAAGACGAACTTCCGAACACTGTCACGACGATGTTCACGCAGCTGCTCCTCACGAACCTGACCTACGACACTCAATACAAAATCTCGGTTCAAGCACGCACGCCTGAGGGTGACCGTAACAGCCCCGTGTCGGAGGTAAGCTCGATGAAGGGAGCGAGGCAACTAGAGATCCCCGGCCGAAAATGCGGCCGATGATTCGCCATAGTGATTGCCATGCTTCGGAATATGTTCCCCTCGGGTCATATTCGTAGGAATTCCATGGTCTTCCTCCTCTACGCGACGATATATGGTGGAACATCCTCTGGAACGTCTCGTGGATGAGAATGAGGCGTTCCTTGCTCCTCTTTCAGGCTACTCTCTTTCCGGCAGGTTCAATAATCTGATCGTGTCTTGCAGGTGGTGCTCGCGTGGACAGACGCCGCGATTCCGGCCTACGTGAATCTCCCATTGATCGCTCCGATCGGTCCAATCCGAGAGGGCAGTAACATAACAGTGGCTTGTCTCGGCTACGGTGTTCCCGCACCCAACACCTCGATTTACATCAATGGACAGCTGCTCGTCGCTTTGCCGCGGCACCAGGTGGCCGTGGCTCTGCAGCGCATAACGAGGAATATCACGAGATTATCCTGCTACGCGGACAATGGTTATGGACCGGGTGGATACACCAGCCTCAGTGTCCACGTCCTATCGAGTCCCATCGTGACTATTCCCGTCGAGGAGGTGCAATCCGAAGAAGGAGCGACGGCGCGACTCAACTGCAAGGTTTCTGGATTCCCCGAGCCGCAATTCCACTGGACCCGGGACCGTCAGAGCAGGAACTCCATCAGAACCACAGACACCGTTGGGCTGCAAGCAGTTCCCGATATGGAGATGCCTCACACCTACACATCGTCTCTGGTAGGTTCCGCCCGCGTCCTCTCTTCGTGTAGTTGCATGTAGCGACGGGACGGAAAATCTGCGATCCTTCCAGACACGCTTTCTGGTTCACACGCCTACTAGATGGTTCAGGCCGGATCTCCCCGAGGAGAAATATTCAAATTTTTCCCCTCGACAGATTCTCAAGAGGATTTCGAAGGCCGACGCCGGGAAATATTACTGCAGTGCTTCTAATCAGTACGGAATGATGACACGCTCCGTCGAGCTCAAGGTCAACGAAGCGAACCCCGACAAAAACTCCTCTAGCTGCTGTGCGGAACAGGGCGTGTCTCCCGCGTGTCTCTCCGCGTGCGCATACGACGTAGATATCATGTTCGCGCTGAAAAAGCCCGAATGCATTCAGGATCTTGATAAGTTGATGCACTGCGCCGCAGACGGCAGCGACCACAGACTGTGCTGCAAAACGAAGGGTGTGCCGTGGTCTTGTCAAAAATGGTGTGCTGGACGACCAGTACAAGTTCCTACACACTGCGCTCTGATATCGGCGAGAGAGATAGTCAGCTGCTTCGAAGAGGGAAAAGGTATCCTGCCGGGACCGCCTCCAAACGTCAAGGCCAGTCGGGTTAGTGATCGCCGCTCCACCAATTATCGCCTAGCCTTCCTCGATTATTCCGTCGCTCCGATTCGACTTCGATCTGTCAGCTGATTCCCCGGAACGTCATTCATTTGCAGCTGAACGGAGAAATTCTCGTCACTTGGGACAAGCCCACGAAGCATCCCGAGGTTGTTCAATGGTATAAGATATTCTGGCGAATCGTCGGTTCGATGGACGCGAACAAGAACGAGACCGATAAATTGGAGTTCCGTTTCCCTGCCGACGACGATAAGATCTACGAAATCCTCGTCAAGGTACGTATGAACTATTCGAACAGAGCAAGCGCCGGCAGTCGGTGGGGTTCGAGCGATAGCTACGGGAGTAGGGCCCCGATCCGTGCGTCGAGACGTTAATGAAAATCGCCGATATTCCAGGCGGGCAACCATTACGGCATGAGCCAACCGGCGGACGCTCTCGTCGTCCACAGCAATTCAATTACGGCTTACAGCGAACATCAACAGGCCGTCGGTGATGGCGGCAGAATTTTGGTGTCGTTGTTCATTAGTCTAATTGTTATGGCTGTTGCGGCGGCCGGCTTCATGTGGTATTACCGGAGACAGAAAAAAGGCTCCGGCCACTCCGCCTCTAACCAGGGCGTGAGCTTTGAGAATCCCACCTATCTCAAAGACGGCATTTCCCTCTCACCCGCTACGAACTCGGTGAACTTCAATGTGAGTAGCGCATGATGATCGAATGGACCAGCTAGGGAGTGACATTGTTTTCGAGGTGGTGGCGGTGGAGGCGGTGGAGGGGAAGCTCATCACACAACACACTCATCGGCCCATAGAGTGTCTTCGCCTTCCAGAAGGATAAAGACTCATCTGCGGAGCTAGACCTCACCGAGCGTTCGGGACCTCGCGCCGTCGAGAATCAATACGAGGACTTCAGACACGTACGGCTACACTAGACGAAGCCTCAAAACGACTCTCGAGCTTCACCAATAATTATTGTATTGCCGAAACTCGGAGAATCAGAAGTCAATTCGTATGTATTTAGTATTTAGAAGGGAGACATCTCGAGTGTGAAAGGAGCCCATCTCGCGGGCAAAACCGCCCAAGGAAATTGACGGGGAATAGGGATGCGGAGGAGGAGGCTGACCTCATCGGGGTAGCACGAGGGAGGAGTGCGACCTCATTGGGGTGAATCGAGATGGATAATTATGAAAATATACATCAATAAAGGAACGGAAAATCAAATTTAGATATAGAGCTAGAATCTCGAGCACCGTGATAATAAGCAGACGGTCGAGAGGGAAGCTTCGAGATCGGGTCTGAACTCTGTGGGACTTGTTACTTTTTTGTAAATAAACCCAGGTTAGAATAAAGAAGCGAAGTCGATTAAGCATTTTTTCTCCGATTCCGGTAACTGATATCTATGACCATGAAGATTCCTGATGTCTCGGTCGATTCGCGCTGGATATCTAGGTAGAAATATCGATCATTCATCGGCCCGACAGTATTCGAAGGCATCGTCGGGAAAGGGAGGAAATCGGGCGTGATGCGTAACAATCTCCGGGTCAATCACTCCTACACGAAAGCGGAGATGAGCGGCACGCGACGGAATCGAAACCGGTATAAGCAATCTTTCATGCCCCGCTCTCGAGAGCAGCACACGACACTGTTTCTCGTTTCTTTATTGAGTTCCCATCTCCTTCGTCACGAAGAGAGGCCACGCCTCCGCGGATTTACATAAAAACGATTTCTCCAAAGGGCGAATCGTCCCTACTGTCTACAGAGTCTCCTCGACATCCGGAGCGGAATCATATTTTTTGCTCAGTTCTGCTCCGCTGAAATCGAAGCCCGGATTCTCAAGCTGGAATTTCTCCAGATCTATTTTTTTCCTCATCTCATGCAGAACAAGAGGATCAGCACGGAATTCCCCTTCTAGTAGGGAAGGCCAAACCTCATTCGCGGGTCGTGAATATTCAGCCTTTGCCAGCAAGATCAGGACCTGCAACGATTAGAGAGAAACATTCAGTTCAACGTAATGGGAGCGCCGGAAATCCTGGGACATTGCCCGCTTCCTCGAGCTCCTTTTTTCCCTCCCCGTCATCCGTGCTCCGAACAGCTCGGATACCCTCCACTCCCCGGTTGGTGGCGGGAGCGAGATTGTTTCCTTTTGGGAGAGAGAGTGCGTCACGCAAATCCGCGTTAAATACGGGTCGTTGGAGCCCGCGAGCGACCCATTCCCACGGCGAGCTCTTCCCACTGTACGAGATGATACCAGCGCTCTCATTTCGGGTTGATGATAACCATCATCCTGCCCTTTTGAGATGGGTCGGAGGACGGTTATCTCCGAGTTAAGCGGATTCTCCAGCAGAGTCTCCGTCTCTCGGAGGACCGAACATATTCCACGTCCACGGGGCGAACTCTCCGTCGAAGCGACGGTGACGGTAGCAGTAGCCGAGCATCGCACCTTATTTGCATAATTAGATCACTTCGTAGGCATTAGTGGAATGTCGCGGGAGGTCCTCTTCTCTCTGAGTGAGTCAGCAAACAGATCTCGACGACCGGCCGTCCTTGCGCTGGCCATCTTGTCCGAGCTCGTTGAAAACCTTCCGCCCTGCTGACGACTCCCCGTCGTCGTAGTCTCATCCGCTCCACGTTAATGGATTCGACGGCTGCTAGGTCAATCGGGCGTGCTTTCATTAGAGCCGTTCAATGGAACTTGAAGGAGGGAAAAGTATGCGATCGGCGATGTTTGAAGACGGATGGGCCCGCCGCTACTGCTCCTCCCTCCTCGACCCACTACCGAGTTTCCTACCGTGAAATTCCTTCAAACGGAACTGTCTCGCGCCTCATGGAGGCGGCGATTGCCCAAAAATCAGGAGGACTCCGTAGCTCAGCGGAGCTCAGACTCGCGCGGCTAGAACATCAATCCCTCAACTTGAGACCCTGTTCCGAATCTCGGGAACTCTAGAGCCTGCTCCGTGAGAGTATTTTGATCCCCGAATCAAGAGCAGGGTCGTTTTTTGTTTATGCGGCGACAAAACCCCTTGAGCTGCTCCCGTTGCGACGTCGATTGTTCTCTCGCTCGGTGTCGTATGTGCCATTAATACTAATTGACTCCGGAACGCGGAGGGGGAGGGGCGCGGCCGAGTCACTCTAGAGTCTAGACGACGGATCCGAGCATACGACGGAGCTTTACCTTCGTTTTTTCCTCAAGGGTCCACGTACACTCGTCTGCGCGCACAGGACGGTAAAGTTTCCCTCCGAAGACTTTGACGCCATCCAAAGCCACATGGAGCTCCCTCGGAGTGATCTTGATATCCAACTGCTTCGCTCGCGTACCTGGGAAAAATGGGACAGTGAATATCCGGACCGCCTCATAATTTGATGAATGAAACTCAGAGCGAGAGAGTTCATCGAATTTCCTGGCTCGAGCGCTTCTTGGTAAATACAAACCATCTGTGGTACACGGTCACGACACCTTCTGGGAAGCAAAAAATAATTCAAGCGGAATACGATTGTGATCTCCCAAGGCCGCGATAGAGGGCGAGCGCAGGTTCGAAAGGACATATAAGAAAGGCTGCACAAGAAATTCGGGGGATGATTCCGAGAGGATTCTTGCCCTGCCAGGGAGAACAGGGTTGACTAAGTTTATCTTAAGGCCGCAGGAGAAGATGCTTTTGACTGTCAAGAACTCTATCGTCATGTCACCATCTCGGAGGGTCACTGCTCCGAAAGGCAGATGAGTCGGAGAGAGATTCCGACGTCAGCCGAACTCAGGTTCCGCCAGGACGCCTTTCTCTTATCAGAGAATTATTCTGCTCACAATAATCCTAGGATCGGAGTACGGGCGATTGAAGAACAATGCGTTCGGAATTCCTCTCTCAAGATTGTATTGAAGACAGAGATCACATTCTCCGATGTGAGTTTCGCTACGATGGTGAGGAGCTGACTATCGATTGGGAATGTCGAGAGCGGTGCCCCTCGTGAACATCTGAATATAGAGGTTTCTTGTCCTTGAGTCGTTCGCCACCGTCGGTCGTCGGAGCCGACGACTCGATGCGATCTTGCGGCACGCTGCGGTGGCGGTCGCTTTCCGATTCCGAGGTCGATAATGATTTCAACGATCAGTCCGATGGGGCCGATCTGATCGGAGCAGTTTCCCCGCGCAGCTGCCTCCGGTGGAAATTCTAGATAATTTATTACAATATTGCCCTCCGCGTGCTGTGTCTCAGTTCTCAGAGGGCTTGCCGGAATTAGAAATCGACTTTCGCTCAGTTTCCAGGAGCGAGAAGACGTCGAGGGACATTTCGCTCGTGATTCCCTCAGCGGTCAAAGCTCGATGAGCACGTTACGTCTTGCCGAAGGAGAAGGTTTCCCTCCGCGAAGCCTGTCCGCGACGAATTTTCCAGAAAAAACTCGGCGAAGGTTAGTTGATGCGCAAACGACGTACATGAGTGACAAGTGAGAGTAGAACAACGTCGCGGAAAATATTGGCTTCCTCACCAAGGTCGCTGTAGACTCGACAACACGAGTCTCTCGACTCCCCACGGGAAACTGCTCGGAAGCATTAGCTCAATCATACGACGGGGGAGTTCGGCGAGCTCCTTCCCAAACCGTACTACCTCTCCAGTAGTCGCGATAAGCTGGGCAGACTTGTTGCAGAAAGGGCGGCACCCTGCTAAAACGATCGCCACTGAAGAGATTCTCCGTAAGTCGAGCTTATCAGTTCCGCCATGGAGTTCCAAGGGGAGACGTTCCTGTCTAGCGGGCGACTCGCGATCGGCAGCTGTGCTCGCTATCAAAATTCGAGATAACGCACAGCCGTTTTCCGGAAGGAACAAACTCCCATGTCTCAGCAACCCCTTCCCCCTCCCTCTTCCCAACCGTTTTCGGTAAAAAACAAAACGCGACCAGACAATGATAAGCTCCCGTTCCTCGGAATCCGACGCGAGGCTGAACGGGGCCGACGTGTTCTCTCCGGACGCTCAATCAGCAATGATTCCCATGATGTCGTGAATCGTAGATTTCCGGAACGGAGAGACTAGTCACAATCGACATCGGCAGCCGGCACGGCTGCGGAAGAAGTCAACTCACTCAGAAAACGTCAGTCGGTCTCGATCATCGTTTCGGGCTCTGACCATCAGCACTGGCCCGGGAGTCTGAGAGGGAACGATCAGAAATTTCGATCATATCCCCGAGATATAGAGGCCCTCGGACGGAACGATTCGTAGCAGGAACGTCAGTCACAGGAGCGTTCTCTGGGATGGTCCGATCGCGAAGCTGGCCCGTCGCATTCGAGTCATATCCTTCAGGTTTCCTTCATTCTTCCGAAACGTCCATAGTTCCCGAGCACTACCTCTCTTTCGCGATAGTAACATAAGGCTGATATCAATCTTTCACCAAGTTCTCCGATTCCCGCTCGCTCGGCCTTTCAGCAGCTGTGGGAGCAGAAAAATGAAACGCCTATTTCGAGCAAAACTTTCGCCGTGCTCCTTCCGTCCGTCCGCACGCACGCGTCTACCTACGTGCAGGCAAATTACGCCGTGTGGAGCTTTCAGTCACCCCCTACAAGGGATTCCCGCTGCGCCGCTCCCTGGGCACGCTGGTCCGCGATGGGAAGCCTACGTGCTCAGCGCGGCAGCGACTCGATGCTCTACGAATCGGACGTGATCGTATCCAGATCCATGCGCCGAAACTGCCCGCGGTACAGAACGTTCGATGAATTCCGCTTCTGAGAATTCTCTTGTATCCTTTCTTAATCGAGTCTACTATTCAGGGGGGATCTCGCTAGCGGCCTCAGGAGCGGCGGTCGACGAGCTTGTTCCTTCGTAACCTCGGTCGTTAGTGACGTCATCTCGGTACGCACTTGACAGAGACAGATGAATCAATGCCTGCGGGAGGGGGGGGGAAGCTGACTCCAGCTGCCGGAACGTCTCCATTTTGACGGCTAACTTGGCGTAACATCACCGGCAAGATTAGAGGCAGAATGTCAAAAGGAGCACGTCACTGCGAAAAGCTGCCCGCTTTCTTCTTCCGCTGGACTTCCTCCGCGCTGCAAACTGCCTTCATCTCCATCTATTCTTCCGACCGAGAACTCGTCTCTCCGAGACGACACCAGGACTGGATCGACTCAAACGGAAAAAGCACTTCCAACGGAAACCAGCGCAAACGTCCAAGTCAGGGGTCGATGAGAGGGAGGAATCATCAGCCGACCGGCCTTCTGAGCCCTGCGCTCCGCTTAGACGGCGAACGAAGCCCACTCTGGGGTAAAAGGGTCCGTCTCGGAGTGAGGTCAGTCGGGAGATGTTCTGACACCTATCAGCGGCGACAGAAGATTTTTGAGATGCATGCGGCATCACAATGTGACCGACAGCTTTTACCTCGCGATCCGCGTGGGATGAGCCGATGAGCTGAGTCTTGGCGACCCGTTGGCTCAAGTACAGGCGTGTCAAGAGAGCCGAGCTCGAGTTTTCCGATCCTGGTCAAGGCGTCCATGTATCATACTTTGAGTCATGCAGGAGAATTCGACTGGCGGCTCAGTCCGTCTCTGGACAGACGACGTCGAGTTGGAAGCTCCCTTCCCTCAATCGCCCTCTAGCCAAGCGAGGAACGACGTGTCTAAACAAAAAGGAAAAGACGGCAGCGGAAGATGAATTCCTTGGGAAGAGTTTCGCTCAGTATGCACAAAAACTCTCGGAGAAACTCGAAACTGCGAGTGCTCATGCGTATCGACCGGATGCGGGAGAAGACAAACGCGAAAGGAACGTCGAAAATCGCTTGCGCCGCGTTATTCTCCCCTCAGCGAGTATGTACTCCCGAGCTCGTCCGAGGCCAACAAGTCCCGCCGACGACTGGAATTGGCATTCCGGGGGCATTCAAAGTTTCGAGTCCACTTCGAGAACAAGGGCGAATTTAGAGGCTGGTCTCCGGCACAAAGAAGAATCCGCCTTGTCCTCGGCGGGAAGCTTCGCCCTCGTCGGGAGTTGTTCGCTCGGGTCCCAATAGGAGCAGACCGGAGGACCACGTTAGAAGAGAAGAGGACCAGCTACGGCGGGCCGCGCAGCCAAGAGACTCAGGCACATCTGTGGGGTCCGCCAGGCAGCAAGATGAAGAGGAAGCGACGAAAATGAAGACAGAATACAGGGCCGGCCCGCGTCCCAGAGCCAGCCAGTTTCCACGCTACAAGGGAAAAGTAACGGAATTCTGAATACCCTGAAACCACTGAACGGTCGAGAGGAAGCGAGCGGGAATAAGCGGAATTGCGTATCGCGGATTCCAATCCAGAGCCTGGCGGCAGCGAATAAAACCCCCCGCCCTCATCCTCCGAAGGGCCTCCGGGTTTACGACGGGAGGATGTTTGAGGACGGGAGACGCGAGATTCCCAGGAAATCCCGATAATAATCAGAGGGCAGACAGCATTGGCTCCTGAGCGGTTGCCTCCCCCTGCTGGATCCAAATCGAATGGAAATATGGCACAAAAAAAGAACAGAGAGAATCAGTCAGCCGGTGAGGGCTCCCATGTCCTGCGACACTTTCCCTTTTCGACTCTTTTCCTGAGACCTGGAGACTGATTGCTCGACCGTACGCCCATGTCGTCGGAACTGTCGGCCTGATGGACGAACACAAGGTATGTCAATGCTGACTCGAATATGATCCATCGAAAATGAAGACGATGAACATTCATATTAATAGAGCATCGGCTACGGGTTTATTCGTCCTTTGGTGACGCTTTACGAACCCCTCTCTCACGAGCGGGGCAAACCTTGATGAAATCTGACTGCGAACGAGGAGCTCACCGACTTCCGGGGCGTAATCTATCCTGTCGAGTCGGAGCCGATTCGCTTCGTGATTATTGGATGAAGCGTCGACAGCCCTTGGACTTCATCAAGAACGTCCGGAATCGAAACGTGTTCACTTAGTTTCACCATTTTCACTGAGGGCTCGGGCGAAGCGTGGATTTCGCCTTCGAACTCGATCAACTGCCGGAAAAAACCGAGATTCGGTTCTGCGATCGAACGCCGATCGCGAACGTAGAGGAAAGCTTCGCGCAAGCTCATGCCCCGATGCTTCATGAGGTAGGCGAGGACTATCGAAGTGCTTCGCGACTTTCCTGCGAAGCAATGCACGACGACCTTACCGCCTGACTTTATCTTCTGATTCAGGAGGTCCGCCGCAGAATGGAAGAACTTCTTTATGTCCTCGGTCGGCAGGTCGAAGAGCGGGAACCGCGTCTCGGTCACACCGGGAATGTCGTGGGCGAGCAGTTCCTTCGTACAATTCACAATGTGCGAGATCTCGTTCTTCTCGATATTTTCCGCGGTCAGCCCGCCAACGCCGGAAAGGTATAAACTTTCGGTGATCTGAGACATCTCGTCGAATTCGTACATCTTCCCTCGACCGATTGGAGTTTTCTTTCCGACTCAATTTGTATCAGTGGAAGAGCTTTCCACACGGAAGCAGAGCCTCTCGTGACGGTGACAACGATGAGGCAGCTGGATTTTCTTCCGCGGCCGCCGTAAAACGATGATGAGATTGACGTGTGGCAATGATCGTCGTAATGAACACCCGGGGCGGCTGTTGCAAGCCGTCTGTTTTCTCTCTTTCATGTTTTGCTCAGCTAACGATTGCTGACTTCAAGAGGAGAAGGTGCGCTTACGTCACAGAGTGGCTACATGTCGTCGTCTTGCGCAACAATCGAGGGTAAGCTCAACGTTGCACATGATTTTCGGCGCACTGCCAACTTAGCCAACACGCGATGGATCCGACAGAAATGCTCGTCCTAGAAGAGAATTGAATACCGCGAGAGAGGGATTCTTCCTCATTTCTTCGGGATTTGTCCGGCATCGATTATTACCTATTCTTCAGTAGACGGAACTCGTCTACCTAACCCAGATATTGACGAAACCCCGCCAACGATCTGGACCCCGGAAGTCCTCGCTCTAGAGGCTCTTATGCAGCAGGAAGTCGAACATTATCACAAATTGAATCCGAGGGTGGAGGTGCGGGGGTTTCAACGAAAGAACATTCGCTCGCTGGAGTACAAAAGTTTATTACAATAGCGCAGTATTTCCGAGGCATTTCGGAAAGAATGTATGTCGGTGGCGAAATTCCCTATGCCTCGGCTGGCTCTCCATCCAGCCATTCGAGGTGAAATCCCCTCAAACTACCGTCCCCAGCACTGATGGACGATATACGCGAGGAGGAGGCCGCTATTCCGATTCCATACGTTAGAATCCTCTTTCCACCGTCGTATTGTCACCGTCAGCGAGGTAGTTCGCTCCGGCCTGGATTTCCATGGGGCTGCGCGTCAATATATTTGTCAACAGACTCTCCCGAGGCGCGTCGAATTTCTATTCTCATTCACGATCGCCTGACGAAGTCGTCGAATACACACATGATCGACCGCATACCGTACTCATCCGAGTTGAGAAGCACGATCGGGAGGGAGCTGACTGAGTGAGCTCGATTTCCTCCTTGCCATGGAGATTATAGACGCAAATCTCCCAAATGATTTCGGGAAACTCGTTCACCGCTCATAGGAATGCATAGCCTTCCCTCTCGGCTGCTCGCGTAGCTCACGAGCTCAACCACACGGGAGTGTTCCCTCCTAGAGCGAGCGGAAGAGGCGAATCAGGGATTAGGCAGTCGGAGAATGAAAGGGAAATGCTGATCGACTAGAATGAGTGCGGTGATCCGGCTAACTTTCGCAAGTTTCATACCGTTCTACTCTCTGTCGCCGCTTCAATGCGCACCCTTGCGACACGGAGCGGACTTTCACAATCCCTATACAATCTACCTCAATGCACACGGTCATCGTTCAGTTCAACACTTATTTGGATTTCGAGAAAGACCATATCAGACTGAATGATATCATCATCTATTGCTAGTCGCTCATACTTCTGTATCTGAGCCTCCGATCGATCTCTTCCGATCCCTTTTTTTCCATATCGTAGTAGTCAGATCCTTCGTAATATACGTGGCTCTAACGAAGAGTTATTCCTACACTCTGCCGAGATGAGGGGCGGAGAGTCGGTCCCAAGAGGAGCATCGGGATCGATTTATGGCCCAAACGGTCACCGATGGTTCTCAAACCTAAACGGGAGACGACGGTATTGCCGTGAACGATGTGCATGAATCGGCCTTGAATATAGAAGATCCGAGTCATCTTCGTTCGAAAATAACGGGAGGGATTCTGGGCACGTTTCATTCGACGGCATGTAGCGCTCTCGCTGATTCCCGTTGGAAACATGCGGATCTCGAGAGGAGTTATCAACTTCCGCCGTCCTGATTCTGCTGGCTTTTTGCTCGGCACCGTCCGAACGTCTGCCCTGCAGACGCCGCCACCGTCTCTCTCCGCCGCTCCGAAGTCGGCTACTACTCCATAACCTGATTACGCCTAGCCTATGAATGAGTTGCTTGCTGCAGTTGTAGCGCAGGTCTCTCCACAGGAGTACGGCAGTTACTGCGTACACGCAGTATAAGCGTCGGATAGCCCTCCACCAACCTTCGGCGTTACGGTTTTCCGCTACGGTAAACCGGCTGCGACCGCCAGTCTGAAGAGACTATATTTGGTCCGAGACTGTGTTACCCTGTCTACTATGATGTAGCCTTCGAATATGAATACGACCACCATGGGTGATACGATTTCGGTTTGATCGCTCTGTAGGTTGAGCAAAGAGTAAGGCAGCGCGGAAGAAATGCTTCCCCTTTCGTTATCAGAGGATTTCCGCTCCACTGCTCACATTCTCCATCCACTCACGGGCTGAGGCCTGGTTCTCTGTCCTCAAACAGAGAAAGCTAGAAACGCCAAGGAATTACGATTTGAGAATAGTGGAACGTCCGCTCGGGCCCCACGACCGACACGCGGTCGAATCAGGAGTATTTCCTCCAATCCAAGATCGCCTTGATTGGAAAGGTAGTCATTGATCATCGGGCGATAGAAAAGACGAACGAAGAGGACATGGATGGAAGGGAAAATCTCTTGATCACTACCACGTTCCGTTACACGCTTGATTCGACCGATTGGTGTACGGTACTCCTTCCCTCGTCCAATCATCATGAGTTGTATTATGTAGCTCATTCCTTATCGGGCTCATTGTTTCTTGTTGGAAATTTTGGTCACAAATCGCTCCCAAGCGGACGGGTAGACCTTGATGGGTCGGGCCGCCATCTGCAACCCGACCGGTAATTGCTAGCTGTCTTTGCCTGGCGTGTCTTCTTTGATGTTCCTGTCCCCGATGGGATGGAAGCCCGGGATGTCTCTAGTTTCCTCCTTGTAGATGTCAGGGATCATCGTCGGCGAATTCTCGCTGAATCTCACCATTTTCACAGAGGGTTCACAGGAAATTCGAATTTCGCGTTCGAAATTTATCAGCTGTTCCACAAAACCGATGTTAGGACGAACGACCAAACGACGAGTTCGGGTATACTTGTAGGCTTCGCGTAATGTCATGTTGCGATGCTTGACGAGGTACGCGAGGACGATTGATGAGCTCCTCGAGACCCCAGCCATGCAATGGACCACAACCTTACCACCCGCCTTTATGGTCTCGTGTATGAGGTCGGCCGCAGCGTGGAAGTATTGCTTCAGATCCTGTTTCGGATCGTCGACCGCCGCGTATCTCGTCACAGCGACGCCGGGAAATTCCTCGTTGGGCACGTCGCTGGTGACGTTCACGATGTGCGTGATTCCATTTTTCTTTATGTTCTGCATGTTTACCGCTCGGGCACCACAGAGGAATAAATCCTCGGTGATCTGAGACATCGAATTGAAAATCGACATGGCCTTTTGAACTCGTCTCGTCCTGTCTCACTTCACACGCATTCGTCTCGGAATTCAGTTCCTCTGCTCCTGAGCACCACCTGCGAAGCCTCCAGCAACGGCAGCAACGCACTTCTCACTCGAGGGATAACGATGTAACCGCAAGATGATTATATCTGCTGCTGTGGCTGATACGACGAAGACGGCGGTAATGATGATGATGATGATAATGAGGCGCCTCCAGCGAGTGGACGATGATGATGATGCTTGCTTGAGCAGGCTGTTGCAATTTTTGTCTTCCTTGTGTACTTCTACAGCCGACCACGGAATAAAAACCGTGCACTACTTTGTATACGTCACGAACGATAAGAGTACGGAGTTTCGCGGAAAACTCCTCGGTCAGAGTTCAGGTCGCAATCGCATTGGATTCCGAGGTAGCGACAAGTTCTGATGGCAGTGTTGGGCTGACCAGCGGAATATTGCTCAATACGATATCGGCATTTGGACACCGTCTTGTATAGCGGTCACTATTCGGAGTGGCCTTCCAGATTTGAAACTGAGTCGATAGAAGTGTTTGCCTGCCCCCGGAGCCGACGGAGGAGGATAGAGACCTCAGAGGGGGGAGCACACAATCAAAAACTCACGCGGCACTTTTTTTCCGCAGTTTCGGACTTGCTGGCGGTCTCACGATCACTCTGGCAGAAGTCGACTTATCTAGGAACAAAAGGGAAGGACTCGCGCACCTGCGGGAACGTTGACGATCGCGAACACCTCGGCAACTGTTTGGTACCAGCTCCCCCAAGAAGTCGACGATTCGATTCGTCCACTGCGCTCTTCGAAGTGCGATAGACAACCGCTTGCCATTTGTTGTTCCGGGCGGCTCTTCCGTTCGCAAATTCCCCGTTTCTGTAACTTGAGCGAAGCGATCGTCAAAAGAGATTGGGCAACAATGAGCAACGAGGGCGACGGCTTCGCCGGAGGTTCGGGCTCGACTGGAGAGCACTTCCCACGTAGACTGGACTCGAACTTGTTCCTCTCTCCAAACGAGGAGATGGAGTCGGGGTGAATGACCGTGCGCCGCCGGAGTACTACGAAGCCTGAGAGCGAAAGCCCCGCTCTCCGAGAACAACAACAACAACAATCGCCCCGTGACGTCAACGCGCAAGGGCAGAAACTCCAACGGAATTCCTTGCGTGACGAGGCTTTGCACAGAGAGCAGACGATTCGCGCGCCTCCGGTCGCGTCTCATCTCATATCCGCGGCGTTCTCGGTCCGAGCGAAGCAACAACTCACCTCTATATCCGCCTCGATACTCGTCGCGGCTCGACCCGTGGAACGAGCTTGAGCTATTCCAATTCAATTCGGAATTGCGGACCGCTCCCACCAGCGAGTTTCAGCCTCTGAGTGACAGACGGAGCTACGGGCGTTTCTCTGAGGGAAGTCGTGGCTGATGAATAGACTTCTCGAGCCTCACAGTCGAGGGAACTTGCGGTCGACCGGATTCCTGGAAGTAGCACTAAACGACGCGAGGAGATCGCGAGTCGCGACCCGAAACGCAACAGCTCAGATCGAGCGGGAGCGAGCTGTTCCAAAATTCGAAAAACCTAGACCCATGCCACTTTCGATGAGTGTCCTGTAAAAGTAGCCTCTCCTCTAGAGTCCAGGACCATGAACAGCCAACCGGCTGACATCAGCAGCTTCTCCATGTCTGGGATTCCTCCGGAGCTGCCCCAGCTGTGCTCGTGCCGAGGGAGCCGGCAACGTCTTTGAGTTGGAGGAAATTCTTCTTGTCCTAGAGACGAGTGCGCTCGTGTTATGAAAATATGGCGAAGAAGAGAGTGTCGTTTCCCGCTCCGACAGAAGCACCGGTACCGGTAAAAATTGCTGCAGAGGAAGAGAATACATCGATATCAACCCCGTCGACGTCTCTCGTCTCGGTTCCTCAGTCAACCAAAAGCTTCAAATTGGCTGCGTATGCTGCTAAATGTGTGAAACCCGAAACGAACAAGCCGAGAGTGATAAAGAATCTCAAGCAGGTGACGACGGCCGAACGACTCTATCCCAGCGGCGTAGCGTCGTATGCCTCGATCGAAATGCATCAAACAATGAAACCGGCAAAGAAATACTCCGATATCAGTGGTAGGGTCTTTGAGCGAAGTCCCCGCTTTCGAATCTGGGGAAAAAGATGAAAATCCTCCCCGATTCTCTCTAACATGAATTCCAATCTACTCGGTCAGGTCTGCCGGCGAAATACACCGACCCCCTCACGAAGCTCTACTACGCAGACTCGGAAGAATTTGCGAAAATCCGACTGTTGTCCTCCGAACAGGTCCTCGGATACCTGTCGCTGAGACGAGCCAATGTACCGATGTCTTAAAAAGTTCAAGAACGGAGATATATTGTACAGATTTATTTCATTCATCTTTCTGTGAACCAAACGACAATGTCAACTACTTTGTACAGGAACATTATTATCATTAAACAATTATGGTCACAGTTCTGAGATCTAATCTAAGTGCATGCTGTCACATTTTCAACGAAAACGGAGGCCCTGAGAGTTACTCAAAACCCTATACAGCCTCTCGGCCCCATCGTAACGCCTCACTTACAGCTTACAACGGCGAGGAAATTCACACTTGGTGATGATTCCCCTGTGTCGGACTCGGATGAGTCCCGTATAATCTCGGTCATACTAGTCGCTCCTGGATGTTGTCCTTCAGCAAGTCCCTACACTTCTGTGCTAAGGATCGAGGCTGAACCAGGCGGTCCGCCGCATGAACGAATTTCCTGTCATTTCGACGAAGATACATTTGAGCATCCAATCGGAGGCGATCCATTTTTTCTGGCCTCGTTTCATCCAACGTGAAAGGCTCCGACAAATAGGGATTGAAACGGTAGTATGTGCCCGGTTTCAGCAGATCGTTGCATAAGGTGTGCACCGCCTGAAACGAACAAGATCGGACGATTATTCGAGAGCGAAGAGACGGGAGCAGAATCATGGAGCTCGAGCATCCTTCGCGTCGTACGCACCTCAGTGTCAGTGGCGGAGTCGACGATTTTCATGATTTTCGTTTTCAGCGACGTCGACTTCGCAACGATCTCCGCCTCCTCCGGAATGTATCTCCCGGAACCGATAGACACCACGCACTGAATCTCTTCATCGGGCCACAGCAGACGGGACTCATGGATAGCAGCAGCTGTGGAGTCGGGAGGCTCTGTTCGTGGAAAGCTTCAACGACCATATTCATTTCGTCAATGATATCATCTCTATTATCGTGTTTGATTTCAATCTCCGATGGCTCGCCTGTGGGGTTGTTCTGGATGATTCCTCCGTCTTGATGAACATCACCATTGAAGTCGAACTCTTCGAAGTAGAAAGGTGCCGAGCTACTGGCTCTGACCGCCTGCCAAACGTGAGGACTGCACGAGCCAGCGTAAAAACTCTCTTCTTTCGGTGGGAGCTGATAGTTCCGGAAGAGGAACGGAACAAGTTGCTGCTTGTTCACGACAGCTGAGAGGATACCGACCTTAGGCACATCTGCAAAAAAAGGCCTTGAGAAGCGCTACTCCGAACGTATTTTCCATCCGGGAAACGTTCCGGAATCCCATTTGGAGGTAAATTCCCAGTCACGAGTCGTCCCAGGAATATTCAGAGAGAATGAGACTCACTCTCGTTTCTGCTGGAGTGATACAATCGCACATCGCCGTACAGTTGTTTGAGGATGTCCTGCCATTGCGAGGTATCGTAATAAGCGTGGTTCCACACAAGTTTCCCGGTACCCCACCACGAGCTCTGCTGGAAGACTGTGGAGCTCATGTTGCGATACAAATCATCGCATACGTCAAGGTCTTTCTGTAGCGTCGTTAAAATCCCCACGAGTATAGCACCTGGGAAGCAATTTGTGGCTTTGATGAAACACGATGACCGGGACCCCTGACCTGTCCCCGGACTGTCTCCTAACGGAAGGTTTCCCAACTTACCGGTCGATACGCCCACGACGTAATCGAAGAGCTCCGAAATTTTCTTTCCCGTGCATTTCTCCAGTTGACGCAATACTTCGATCACGAGCAGTCCGCGCACTCCGCCACCGTCGATGCTCAAGATGCGAACTCCGGCACTGTTAGGGGGTTGGACATACCCGAGGAGGCTGAGACATTCACGGGTGAGACCGAGGACATTCTCGTCATGAGATTTCCTTCTGATTTTGAGAAGTACCGAAAGAGCTTTATCGTTGATCAGGGTGGCTCGACTGTTCGGGTATAACAGGATGTGCTCCGAAAACTCTTCTAGTCTGAAAACCAGCAGATTATCCAATCGATTTTCTGGCCCGAAGAGAAATCCGAAGATTCTTAATCAGCCGAAAGTCTTCCGTTTCAATACGAAGTGTTTTTCTACGGTTTAGTTGATTTGGTGAGTATCCACAATTTTGCTTCGGATGGCTGGAGGTTACGCTCCGACAGGCGGACTCTTGTTACCTTTTAGCCAAAGCGCAAGGGAGATCGGCTCCTTGTATTTCTCTAATCAAATGCCTGGATCGCGCGTCGATGTCATCCACGGATCTCAGGCGATTTTGCTCAGCTTGTCTTAGTTCTTTCGTTATTTCCTTGACGGTCGGACGAGGACCCTTGGCCGAGGACTGAGCGGCTTTGCTGGCAGCAGCTTGTTGCTGCTCCTCTCTGAAGGCTCTCTCCAAAACGTTGTCTCGCAAAACATCGTGACCACGAGTATCGGCTTGGCCCGCTTCCGATGTTATTCCCTCGAGGGGACGGCTCGACTTCTCAGTCTCTGAGTCCTGTTGTACTCCGAGACGAGGCTGGAGTCTGCTAACCTGATCCCTCGCAAGTACCTGAAAGTTGAAAGCGTATTAGCCAGGCGCTGATCTTAATGAGCTCCTGAATTGCGACCAGAGGAGAATCAATGCGCGGAAAATTCATTCGACTGAAGAGCCGGCTCACCCTGCGCCACTGGTTATTCGTGCCCTCGACTAGTGTGCTCCACGCCTGGAGAGCACTCTCGTAAAGTTTCCTCGGAATTTTCACAGTGCTCATCGTCATTCTCGAGGGATTCATCAGCAGTGAACCTACAAAAGACCGCTGGAGTCTCTTGAGACGAACGAATCTCAGTGCCCCGCTCATCCTGGGAGATTATCGCCAAACTTCCGGGTCAATGCTCCGATACGTCACAGATCTTCCCCATATTGATCCACACGCGTTCCGTATATCTCGAATTACCTGTGGGAATAAGTAACATCATTGAATTACGGAGAACTCCTGTTCTCGCCGATAGAGGCGGGGTTCGCAGTGAAATCCGAGTACGATTATTCCACGATAACTATCTCACACCACTCGAGGTCCCCGTGGCCGCTCGATCTATAGGTGACTGCAGAAATGATTCGTATCGAATGTCGAAAGAAAAAGAACGCACCTTTAATGAATCTCGCCTGAACGATCTATTGAGCTTGGATAGTAGGTGTCTTTCTAGGAGCAAATCAACGATTGGTCTCTTCTCTCCACACTATCTCACTCGGAGTCGTCTTCCAAGAGAAGAGTTACTTCACCGATTGCTTCGGAACTCGATGTGAGGCTCGCGCTCCCCACTCGGCATTAAATCAGCTCTGGAAGGCGCACTACTCTGTCTGGCCTAGTGGCAACAACAGTCGCAGCCACTGCCTGCATCGTACGAGGCGAATCACGGCGGCTGGGCAAGAGAAAGAGTGAGGCGGTCGAAGACCGGCGAACGCAACAGACGTTTGACGTCTTCAAGGGAACGATGCCGGCCCGATTTATTTCGTGTATTTCGACCATCTCTACAGAATCGTCAGACTCGGAGCGGGACAATGCTTCCAATCAAATGGGAATGTGCTTAATTCAGCCTATCGGGGAACTCTGATCAAAATCATGAGGGGTCTAACGTTCGAGCGTTCATTGCCGTCGTTCCACGAGCCGGCCATGCGACACTGAAACTCGACAATGATCGGAATTCTTCTCTTTGATCGGATCTTCGTAGTGAACAATCTGAGCAGACACTGGTGACCGCCAGTAAGTTGCCCGCAAGTCCGATCCGCGGTTCGCCGCACAATCAACCGAACTCGGAGAAAAGGGCTTCCCCGGCAGCTTGTGTCGTGTTTCTGACGTCACAAGGTCGTCACATCTTTGAACGAGGCAAACCCTTCGGAACGAATATGGCATAAATGCGCACATCTGATCGAGTGAGCATCTGAGGAACGTATCAGGTGGGACTGAGGCGCAGGAACGGAATACCTGACCCTCTTTGGCTACAGTCATTTCCTCGCCATGATCCTAAACTTGAATACGGGGAATGACTCTTTTTGATGAATGTTCTCGAGAATGACTCTTTTTGACGAATGTTCTCGAGAATGACTCATGGTTCTTCTCGCGGTCTTTTCAGTCATATGGAGGAGGGAATTCTGCATCCGAGCTTGCGATGAGATTGAGCGAATGACATCCCTGATCGTACTCGATCTGAGTCCCGACCCAAGGCAGACACCATGACAAGGCCCACAATCCAGATGATTTGACTCAAACAATCGACCTGGGTCGATATAGAGTCACCAATGCAGATGATCACTGCTAATCCAGTTGACAGGGAATAGGTACGCAGGGAATAATGGGGGCACTTCAGCGCAGGGGACGCTTCCTACCATGCTCCGATGTCTCACTCAGTACTTGGATGGACAGACGAAGGATGCTCTCTGCGGAGTTCTTCGACTTGGTGCAGAAGGAGCGAAAACTTTCAGCTACCAGAGCTAAACAGATCAGAACGCATACAGCTACGATAAGGATCAGGCTCGTGTGATCGTCATCCTCGATCCTATCGAAGAGGCTGCAACCAAGTTGCGTACATCAGGATTCAGGATCCACGGAGTCGATGGATTCGCGCCCAGATTTGGATACGATTATGATGGGAGGGAGGAAGCTGTCGATCTTCTCCTAGATTGGCTTAAGCGAGGATGTCCCCATACAGGCACCAGCTCAGGAGACGACTGAATGCATAAATATGTACGTCAAATGTTTTGCGTAGATACGCGAGGCTTGAGCTCAGCGTCTATGAGCGGCGACGATACGTCCGGAGTATTCTCGCAAGACTTTTGGGGAAGAGGTTGCGATGGCGAGGTTCCTCAAGCGATGTTCCCCCGACAAAACCCCGGAATGAGCAAGAGCTCGATCGATCGAGTAGGAACCGGGGAGCTGAATTGAGGACTACGAGAGTACCTTCGCAGAGCCCAGAGAGCTGAAGTGTGCCCGCGGCGCGTCCATGTACCGCCTCCGTTGGTATCCCAGCCACACAGAAATGAATACAGGAGTCTTGGAACATCTCCACGGGCTCTGATTCCGCTCCAGAGCCTCCCCTGCGAGCGAATGCCTATGCTCAAGGCAGTTGGACGTCGGTGCTACTTGGGTGCCGAGCTGTGTTTTCAATACTCGGGGAGAGATGTGCTACGAAACAACTCTCGAAACCAAGAAGGTTCCCAAGAAAGGGAGATATATCGTCATCGGATCCCCTCCTCGGGCCGATTCGATTAGGCAACCTTCCGACCCAAAGAAGTCCCTAACGTTCAAGTAAGCATTTGTATTTTACGTCCCAGTCGAAATAATCCCTATGCCCACTTGCTCAGGGAATGAGTGAGGACCTCCGCTGACTTTCACGGAGTCTCTCGGAACCTTTTTCCCCTATTGGACTTCCTCCCGAGAATGATGGCATCGATAGATTTTCGCCAGTGAGTCTCAAGAAGGATGATCTTGAAGAGAAAGGACCTCCATTCGACGCAGTCTTGCTCTAATAAGACCCTGATAGCACGATCGTATCTTGGGGGCACGACCGATATTGCAAATCTTGAGCCGTCCGGTCCTGGCATTGGGCGTCTCGTCAATTCACATGATTCTGGAGCCTCGATCGGATCCGCTCCTTATAAATCCATTTATCCGAAGAGCCTACTAGGGTCTGATTCGAGGCTCGACGTTAAATCTACGATTTTAGGTTAGAGGCTCGGAAGGGAAACTGCCCGACGTTTATCTTCGATGATAGGGGCAAGACTAAGCATATTCGCTCATCCATGCCCTTTGTCCTAGGAGATTCGAAGTCCGGAAGGATCTCTAGATGCATAGGGCTATCATGTATTTGGAGGAGGCGAATCCAGACTCATGGTCTCCCTTCCTCTTTGAATGAAACAGTAAGAAGGTCATACGCGGAGCTTTCCTAGTTTTCGGCGACACCGGACGACCGACGTGTCCAGGCTGCTACCAAAGTGTGCGATCACTGACCGATGAGCCTAGAGGTACAATCGGGTTTCGGAGCTTCACGAGCACCGAAAACACCCTCTTGGTGACGTGTTCGACGGACAGGACTCTTGTCAGTCCCGATCCGAATAAGATTTCCAGAGCTTCGGATGGGATTTTTCGCTAGAGAGTCCTCGACGCTCGGTGCTGCGGGCGCTCTTAGAACGACGAGAATGATGACAAACAGGTCAGAATAGGTCATTCCAGTTGATTCCCGTAAGGGACATTTTCGGCCACGACCAACGGAACTATCCGTGTCCCGAGACAGGGATTCATCCCTTCTCATTTACGGGATTGGGATCTACGACGTAGAATCGCCGGCTAGGTATAGTGGACCGCTGTATTTCTGTGCGCGCGGCTGTTTCACAACAATACCTACCCCGGGAGGCACTCGAACCACTCACCGCGCTCCGAGGTATGGAATTCAGTGCATGAGGCTTTTGATACACAAATCACAAGCTCTCCGGAAGAGCTCCTCCAGAATGACACGGAAAGAGGATAAAGAACTTCAATGGGGAAGACCTGTGCAAGAAATATAAGGAGGGTAAACTTTAGCAGAATGGAAGGGAGTTGACAACACAGTGCAGACACTGATGTCGACAATCTTTGCTGAGAGTCGCAGCCGATCCGGGCGGTTCTTCCCTCTCTCTCCTGGGCCGATCATCTACTCTCATGGAAGTTGACTATGATGCGTGCCGGATCGCTTTGAAATCCCTAGGATTGAGCGTGATTACGCTTCCCGGATCCATTTTGGGTAGAGGAAGATTATGCCTAGCGTCCCACTCGAAGCCATCATGCTCTATTCCGAAGTGATTCATGGCGATCTTGCGCTCCTTTGGTTCAACTCATTCTTACGAGGCAAATCGAATCGAGAATAACGATCTGTCCAGGTTACCTCCGACGGTCATGCAAGGATCATGAAATCGATATCCCCGCGTATCCAAAAAGTATATGTGAAGACGCATAGATGTGTTATCACATATAATTATGCACATAAGCCCTGTTTTCCATTCTCAAGCTCTTTGAAGAATCGAGATATGATCATTCGCAACGTATCCGGGACCCACCTGGGCCGGTATCTTCGACCAGTGCTAGTCAATTTTTTGCGGTGTCCGCGGTCGTCAGTCTTCAAGATCCGTTCGGAGCAATCCTACGATGAGCGCTCGCATTTTTATCGTAGTTAAGGAAGCCTTCGGACCCCACAGACGGCGACTCGGATTGCTCACCTGTTGCAGACCCCATATATAAAACCCATATAGCTGGCCGTCAGGCGGAGTCGATATTCCAAGTGTATTACAGATCGATTCAGTCCCTCGTGCGGCGCCGCCGTGAGACCGGGAAAGAACGTGTGCACGCAGCGGGGCGCCTCCGGAACCAGCTGGTTGGGGGAACTCCTTGTTCATCAGAACCCAGGATCTTCCGCTGCATCAGAGAGCGGGCCGACCCCGGTAAAGCATTTCGGATAAGGGGGAAACGCGGGAAGAAATGCAGATTATGGCACGAAATCGAGATTTATTGAGTATCAAGGTCTCTCAATCGTCTTTTGGCACGGGTCGTGGACGCCGATAGTTTTGTCTCCTCGGGCCACGACGGAAGACTCTCCGTCCATCTGACGGACCCTCTGCATCCTGGGAGTCCGACGGTTCTTTGGATCGTTGCTCAGCTTCTGCCCTACGCTTCCTACGACTCTCCTCGTAACGTTTCAGAGAGGCTTCGGCTTCGGCAACTTCTTCGGGAGTTATATTGTACTCTTCGATCAGCGACTGATAATCGTCATTCTTGATCTTCAAGAATTCTTCATAACGCCGTTTGTGGACCGAATCAACGAGAGAAACTATCTCTTTCAATAAGCTCTCATCGTAGATCTCTTTCAGCGAGTCGTACCTCCCACTAAGGAGCCTCTCTATCTGAGAGCAGCGTTTCTGACTGTACCGGAGCTCTGCTTTCATCAATTGGTACGAGAAACCTTCCAAGAGACGTCGCATGTAGAGTGTGTTCTGAACTTGAGAATTCGACAATCTGGGAACAAAGATGGGGTTGGAGAATCCAGAGGTTGAGCACTCAATTCCCGTTCGTACCGAAACGGGAATCGATCGCCGCCTGCGCGGATTCCCTGGTGGCTCCCTTCCAGGCAAAATCACATTGGACATTACGTCAACACGGGAAGTGCGAGAATAACGAACCTGTACTGGACCGGGAGAATTGACAATGCTCGGCAACGGATCAGGAATTCGCTCGTGACCTTGAATTTAGCCAGTTCCACCTGATTTTTAAGGTAGTTGTTGAAAGGATTCAACCCTTCCCTTCCAAGTTCCTCAACAAGCCTGTGGCGGAGCTCTCTAGTCGCAGCGATATCATCCGGTCTGGAACGGGGATCGAAATTAAAATTCAGAGAGCCCCGAGCCCCGAAGGTCAGCGCCCGAGGCGCCGGCGTCGCATCCTCCCTCGGACGCTTACGGATGACGATTCGAGGTGGAAAGAGGTTCGAACTCCACTCACAGCTTCCTATTAGCGCGCTCCGGATTTCGCTCACGCCGAACCTGGCCACGCGGATTCGCAGCTCGTCGAGATCGGTCTCCATCTTTCGTGTCGGAAGCGGAGGAATAAGTTCGATTAGGAAGTCGGAGATCTTATGATGGCGAAGATAGCCCCGGGGAGTGAAGGCTTTCTGTCTAGCTCAATCTGGAACGGCACTCACTACTTTGCGGTTGTTCTCTTTCCTGACCGTCCTCTCGCGGTCGCGGCCTTCGTTTCGGCTGCGATCTTCTCTGCACGTCCCTCGCGCCTTCCGTGTCTCCTCCCGCAGCATCGGGACTTCCTCCCTCAGCGGCGACCGATTTGGGTCTGACGGGAAGAACCTCCTCCGCAGGAGGAGGCAAGCTCTCGAGATCGGCCATGTCTTATCACAGACCTGTGAACGCGGCACCGAATGTATGAGTCATTTACGAGTCGTCATCACGCCGTGGAGGTTGCACGACGCGTGGCGAGAGACTTCCCACAGCCTGACACGTTTCGGAGTCACCTCGATCGCCTCCAACGGGCGCTCATGCAAAAATTCCACTCCATGTCTACACATGTCGGTCGACGCTCACATCGAACACATGAATTTAACTAAACGCCCACCTAATCCCTCGAAACGCTACGAGTCCTCTGGAGCAGATCGAATGTCGAGTCTTCTCCTCGAGGAGCACGAACCGCTCTCGACGGATCTCGGCCGGAGCTTTCCGGGAATTATTTTTCACACTCACCGGATCGCAGACTCCTATTGCAGTCTCTGCGGATGACCTACAGCTCGAAGAGGGGCAGCAGTCTGCGCCCGATGTGAGTGTTTGGGAGTCAGTCAGTCACGTCGAAAGTGTGCTTCGAGTCCGTTCAGTGCATCCACGACTTTATCTCTTAATGAAGACGACGGTCGTTCCAATACACATATCGACTACGTGTTAGCTGTAGTGGCGCTGACAGCCAACGGCGGTTGGTCCGTCCGTTGGATTCTGCTGCTATCAAGCAAGCGGCTGCCACCGCCGCTGGTGCCGCCGTAGCAAAGATAGAGGGATTGGAACCAAGATTGAAACAATTGGATCGTGATGTTGTCGGGCTTTCCTGACGCATGTTCTCTTTGTGCCCCACCCGCCCCTTGGAGAGACTTTCCACAAACGAGAGGATCGCAGAGCTCGTCGCATCGGAGACGGTAAGCGCCAGTGGGATTGGCGCCGTCTCAGTAAGAGCTCGCACGCCATATCGACAGTTTCGAATTTTCTCGCGCGTCGACAACCACTGCAGCCAGAGTCGGAAACGAGACACGCTCGAACATTCGATAGCGTTTTTCGGATCCCGGCAGCGATTCGAGAGCCCTTCCTCGGATTCCCGAAAATAGAGTTTCGCCGCTTCGATGGTTTTTTCATTCCTCAAGTCTGTGCAGTCGACGGAGTCCGAGCGAAAAATAAGACGTGGAACGAAGACTCCGAGCAGTGTTTTTTTGCCAAGGAACTTGGTAGGGTTCGTCGTGGGAGTACAAGCTGGCGCTTCCGAAATACCGGGAACGTCGATTTTCCGCAGAAACGATTTGAAGAAGATGGGATACTTGTTGGACTTCTCCTCATTTAATGATTAGATCCAATCGAAAGGTGGTACAAATCTTCCATGGAACTTCGCCTCCGATCCCCTACCGGTCGCGGATATGATCGAAGAAGTTTCAATCACGGAAGGAAGTCGGGTCCCTAGTCCCTACGGAAACGGTTTGAGCTATAGGGCGGGTTTCCGACCGGGCGTTGCTTTTGAAACTCAGCCATCGCTCACCGGGGCTCCTTCCTGGCGCTCGGGATGTTCTGTATCTGCTCAATGATACCAAACGGTCAGAGCTGCCTCATACGAGCCCTGAGTCACCGTCTCCAGCATAACGTCTCTTTCAGCGCTTGTAATGTGGGGCTCAAGTTCGAAATCACTTATCTATATCGGAAATCCCTTCAGAGCGCGCCGCAGGTCGAAGACCGCCGCGACTGATGACACGGACAGCGCGTGTCTCGAGTGTTCCACTGCCGCGTGGTCGTCGGTCGCGGAGATCGGAAAAAGAGTCGGACCGCCCGACCAAACCCGAAGCCCCAGCAAAGATCCAAGGCGATATCGTCTGCTGTTTGTTTACGTCAACAGTCAACAGCAATAAGACACTACCGGTGTATATTCTGCTAAGTGACGGGGGCTGACTTGCTAGAAATTCGTTCGGACTGAATCTCCGAGAAATCCGCTGCCATGAGTATCTTGGCTTACAATGGAGGAATTGTCATCGCCATGAAAGGTGACGGCTGTGTGGCGATCGCGACCGACCGTCGGCTCGGAGTAGAGGGTCGTACGGTCTCAATCGATTTCGAGCGGGTTTTCGAGATGGGACCGAGACTTTTCGTCGGGCTCCCTGGTTTGGCAACCGATACCATCACCGTAAGTCAGAAACTCAGGTTCGACATGAACCTCTATGAGCTCCAAGAGAATCGTCAGATGACCCCCAAGACCTTCGCTACGCTGTTGAGTGGAACGCTATACGAAAAAAGATTCGGGCCGTATTTCATCGAACCTGTCGTGGCTGGGATGGATCCCAAGACAAATGAGCCTTATGTGGCGTGCATGGACCTGATCGGCAGCACGACAGAGACCGTCGACTTCGTTGTATCAGGTAAGGGTCTCGTTCTCATCCTCCGAGCTCATGTATTCACTCCGGTAGGATTTGCGGTACCTGTCTGTTTTGTGAAAATGACCCCGGCCGGGAGTCAGCTGAGTCTCATGAGGCATCGTTCATCCCCAGGTACTGCCGAGGAGGAGGCGTACGGCATGTGCGAAACTCTGTGGCGGCCCGGAATGAAACCCGACGAGTTGTTCGAGTGCATTTCGCAGTGTGTACTCAATGCTATGGATCGCGACGCGATCAGCGGATGGGGTGTCAAAGTTCATGTCATGGAGAAAGACAAAGTAACCACTCGGTATCTGAAAACTCGGATGGATTAAGTCGGTTCGGAATCTTATCATCAGGATCGCTGGCACATTAAATTTCTTTTGAAAAAGCTGCTGTCTTCCTTCAACGGTCATTCGTCCTTCGTTCGGACTCGAGATCCGTGGAGGAGCCGAATCGTATATCTGTGTAATGGGGCTTCCATTTCAGTCTTGACTCTTGACGACTCTTGACCCTTGACCCATGAATTCGTGATACGATTTACTTCGGAGTGTCCCTCCAGAACTCGCCCGCACGTACAAGGTGGGGCTGTATATTCTCCCCATTTTGTTTTGCTCATAGAATCCGAACCATGAGGGCTAGCGGAGTTCTGTTCGCGGCGAAATGTTTAGGAGGACTCGCCCTCTAAGAAAAAAATGCCTTCGGTCCGATATCTCCGAGCTGGGGAACAAGAATCAGCAGGAAAGCTAGGAAAATGGGTTTTCCCACAGATATCAACACCGAGCTTTATGAGAATGACGTGAGCTGAGCTTCAAAAGGTCAACTTTGAACGTCCACCTGGTGAGGAGTCCTCGTGGTCATTCTACTGCAAGCAGGATTCCGCTAGCCGCCTTGGTCCGGATTTCATGGGGATCATTCAAAATGGGGAATTTATGCTGCCCCACCCTGTATTTTGCGCCTAGCATTTATCCTTCCCGCTCGAGCTCTGATTGCGGCAGGAATATAATCCACAGGGGCGGTAGGGAGCGGGTCTACATATTGGGACATCGTCATCGTTCGAGATTCATGCTTCATCTGAGCGCCTGAGAAGACCTAGATTGATAAGAAGTATCGAGCCCAGAGGTGATTCACGTGCTTTCCCTCGAGCCTCTTCCCCTGGTTTTCGGTCGCCCTTGGAAGATAAACGAGTGACCTCATCTTTTGGAGAGATCGAGGGTGAGGAAGTTTTCGGCGGAGAAGGCTCCGGGAAAGACCGAGGTGTCAGGCTCGTGGATACCCTGCAGGTGGATCGTCGCATCGTAGACCGCCAGGTAGCTGCTCTGACGGGGATTCCGCATGAGGGCCTCGGATTCCAGCTTTTTGCTTTCAATCGCCCCGCTACCGAAGAAGCCATGCTATACGATTACTATTATGAGAGAAGGAGACGTAATCCGCAAGCATCGAGCACTAGGTCTTTCTCCCACGGAGCTCGTCTTCGTGACGCTACGACGCGGAAGACGGCGTCCCTTCGACCAAGTCTCCGGGGTTTCTGATCGAGCCTGTTGATTTTTCGCACGAACACACATGTACCAGTCGTGGGATCACAGAACATCACGAGCTATCAGGAACTCGGGGGAAAGACGGGATGTATTCCGTCATTAGCCACAAACGCCAAGTCTGCATGTGATTGGAAAGAAATCAGGCGGTGCTAGAGGGAATGGCTCGAGGGTGTCGACCAGAGCGATGTTCTCATAGCGACGTGAATCATCTTTCAGAGGAGCGGAGTCTTCCGGGGCGGCCAAACAGTGTCTTCTCCTCCTCGATATCTTCTGATGTGAAAGAGTCGTCACATTTGGCTCACTTACGGATCCAATGAACTCCGACATACGACCCTCGGGATGAGGAGTTGTCCAACTTCGACGGTTCAATACGTTGGTCCCTCTCGGTGTCGCTGTCCAGATCGCGTACCAAGATAGCTCGAGAACCACATTTTCATCACACTGACGCTCATAGAGTTAGAGGTATCGTGGCAAGCCTGCGATGTATCGCTCAGACCCCTCTGAAATCCGTGACAATTCGGAAAATAATGTCTCCAACGTACGCTGTGATGCTACACTCGAAATGGAACGATTCCGGGCGGTGCGACAGACCGGAGTGAAACCCTCCATTGATGGAAACTCCTCTTTCCGCGGGAGAGCTTATCGTTCTAACGCAGGGGCTGGGGAACGCGGCAGAGAAGGCGCACCCGGGACGACCTTGAAACTGTTGTCCGAACGACGGAGTGGACGCTCTCTGGGGACTTGTAGCTTGCCGGCAGTTGGTCGTGCTCGATGACCTTTAGAGCCTGGGCTTTCAGGCAGATAAGCGGCCTCATCGAATGTTCCGGAAGTACTCGACTCCCATGTCCGCGACTCCTAACGAATGAAGAACTTGGACTGGGCAGTGTGATCTATTTCTTTATTCTAGGCATGCATATACCTATATTCCATGTTTGGACCTTCATTCCCGCCGAGACGTCGGCGGCACCGTTTCCCGCGGACTGGGTGAACTTGTTCCACGTGGAGAGTCCTCGGCTGACAGGAAAGTTGTGTACAAGCTGTTCGTTTCACTTTTCCTGCCTTTCGAATCTTCCCGCAGACCGCCGAACAGCAACAGCTCGAAAGGCGTAGACAACAGCGAGTATCCAGTCAAGGTCCCTCGGATCGAGCCCTCAGTATTAGGTCTCAGCCATCGAACCCTATCGAACTCTAAATCCTTGAAGCACAACATATGAAGAGACATCGCCTTCTTCGATAAGTGTTTCACTTCACAAGAATTCTGTCCGCACCTGTTCTCCGACGGCGCGAGAGTCACGGCAAGGTTTTCCCCAACCCTTACGAGCTTGGATAGATACTCCGCTTTCTTCGGTGCGAAATGTTCGTCAATGACGGAGATTCGTTTCCATTTGAAGAAGACCCCTATCTGGAGCAACCACACTTCTTCTCCATGCCAGGTTGCCCCAATGTACAAAATCTGGTTCTCCGAAATTTTAATCTGACACATCGTATCCAGCTCGGACGGCTGATCCCTCGAGACCGCACTCTCTGATGTCCATGTCAACGTTTTCAGATCTAGACAAAAGATATCCGACTGTCCAGCCGATGATGTCTCCGGATCATAATGCACGAGAATCGCGCATTCGCCCACGACGGTGGGATTGACGAAGAACCGGCACGGTGCTCTCGTTAAATTGGTGACGTCGCGAAGTGTATTCTCTTTAGAATTGTAGAGAACGACCGCGTTTTCTGTCTCGTCCGTGTCCCCGTCCTGGTCCCAGCTGGCTCCCAGGAAAATGAGAACGTTTTCGCCGTAGGTGCAAACGGCTTCCGCAAACAAGCTCTGCGGAGCAAGTGCACTCCTCTGCCACTTCCGAGCCACCAGATCGAATGTCCAGAGGACATGGTTCGACACGACGAGCATCTTCGAGTCACAGACTGCGGCACGATGATATGCACAAGGCGGAGGAACTTGTTGGTCTGAGAACCTTCTGTATTTGGAAAACTTCGCCTTGTCGAGCATCAGCTGATTCTCGGACTCGGTAGTTCGCCGTCGGATCAGGTTCGAAGTCGCTCGCCGGAAGTTCTCGTTAACCAGGAGAGTGTTCGGGTAGTCCCGATAGACGTTCAGATGAGATAGCACCATTTCAATAATTTCCAGCGGGAGCTCATCAATGTTCACAGCACTCATTTTATCGGATAATGAAAACTGTCCCGGGCGATGAAATTCAATTCTATCAGAGTCTCACGGCAGGAATGGTAGCAATCGACGTTCATGGCATGGTCCGAATTCCCGCGTGGGATGCTGACCCTCGCCCGTCAAATGTCAGTGCACCAGATCGCAGCCGAACGCTTGCTTGCTTCGAGCACTCAAGTGTTGAAGATGAGCGGAGTGGAAGATGCAGGAATTAATGTATCAACCATGAACAGCGAGCATCTTCATCGAGACTCGCGGAACGTCAGCTGTCGGTATGGACGGCTGCGTAATTGAAGCTCAGCCCGGGCATGGTATGACATCGGATCTCTTCTAGATCGCGTCAGGTACGGCGAAGAACCCTCCTCGGAAAGTGTCTCAGCCGCCGAGTGACACGCTGGACCTACATTGTATACAAAGGAGGGAGAAGCTGGGAACATCTCGCGCCGAGCTCGAGCAGGCCTTCCCGCTTCCATTTCACGAAAACTATGCGGAGTGCGATTACGAAGCATGCTGAGACCGAGAACCGAACTCCGGTCGCAGTGCTTGATTTAGGTCTTCTCAGTCAGAGACTTACTTCAAGCAAGAGACCCGCTCGGACATCACCGAAGTCCGCTCGGATAGGACTTAACGGAATTTCGAGTGGCTTCCAAGTTTGAGGGCGAGAGGAAACGAAGTCCGTAATCGCCGAAGGCTTCGATTTTATTAATCACTGTCTGGGAACAGAGAAAGACTTTTCGATTGCGCTGTTTTTGACATAGAACAACTGAATGACATTCTACGCATGACTTAAAACCATCTGTTGGAATCAGTAGCCCTCGAGGGCGTGGATTTGGTTTTGTGACTCGTCATTCCAGCGGATGATCCTCGAGAGACGACATTTCAATTGTATCAGGGGTCACCTGGGTTTTGGTTGCGCGTATTTCGACGTATCTCGATTGAGATTCTCCGGTCTCGCGAGCTACTGGTTGGCGTTAATGATTTGAACGAACTCCGGTTTCAACGACGCGCCCCCCACAAGGAATCCGTCGACATCGGGTTCCTGTGCGAGCTCTTTGCAATTGGCCGCCGTCACAGACCCGCCGTAGATGATCCGAGTATTCCGGGAGACCTCTTCGGAGACATTCTTCGCGAGCCATTCACGGAGCTTGGCATGGATTTCTTGTGCCTGCTTCGGCGAGGCTGTTTTTCCAGTCCCGATGGCCCAGACCGGCTCATAGGCGATAATGACGTTTTCCCACTGATCTGGCTTGATCAGATCGGCATACGCCTTGGTCTGGCGGAATATAACTTCCTCGGTTTTGCCACCCTCACGTTCTTCCAGGAGTTCACCGATGCACGCGATGACAGTCAGTCCGTTCTGCAGAGCGAAGGCGCATTTTTCGGCGATGAGTTGATCCTTCTCACCGAATACGTTCCGCCGTTCGGAATGTCCCAGGATCACGGTATCGCATCCGCAGTCTTTGATCATATCTACGCTCAACTCGGCCGTGAACGCCCCGCTCGCGACCTTGTAGCAGTTCTGAGCCGCGACGCGGATGGAGTCTGGCAAACTTTCGCGGCATAGCATGAGGTACGGGGCTGGGACTGCGACGCAAACTCCGACACAGAAGTCGAGTTTAGCATTCTTCAGACGGTCACACATCTCCTTGATGGAGGCCTTGTTGCCGTTCATCTTCCAGTTACCTCCGACGAAGAACTTGCGACCCATGTTGCTTCCCGTAGAGGAGAGATAAGTCGAACTTGAAATCGGTTGAGCAGAGAGCCTCTGTGCGCGACGTGACCGCTATGTTCTGTGAGAGCCAGCTCAATGACACTGAGACTGGTAGATTCCAACGGCATCACCACGCCATCTATGACCGGATCATCTTCTTTTGCCGGCAGACTCCGATGCGTCCTCCGTTTTCTCTGCATCGCCCCCGGATGTGGGGTCTGACTTGATGTCTCCTCTTCACGGCCCGCCCTGGGCGGATTTTGCGGGCTTTGAGTTTTCGGATGTACGTTGGTATCTACCAGCGGCGGGCGATGTTGTCCTCATGAAAACTGGTCGCCGCTTCCCCTCTCCCGTTTACGGTGACAGAACCACCTGTCTTCGAGAACGGCGGCCACAGGACGTATTCCAGGTCAGGCCGCGTCATGGCTGTCAAAGGCCCGGACGAGCAACGACAATGGGTTCTTGGGTTCAGCATTGTTGTTGCCGTATCGTTCGCTACTCGTTTCCATAAAATTTCCGAGCCGGATCATGTGTGCTGGGACGAAACCCACTTCGGTAAGATGGGTTCGTGGTACATCAACCAGTCGTTCTTCTTCGATGTTCACCCACCCCTCGGCAAGATGCTCATTGGATTATCCGGGCACTTGACCGGCTACGACGGCACGTTCCCCTTCAACAAACCCGGGGACAAGTATAACGATACTAAGTATCTCGGGATGAGAGTTTTTTGCGCTTTTCTCGGAGCTGCCATCCCTCCCATGGCATTCATAGCTGTCGAGAGTTTGACGAAGAAAATCTCAGCCGCCCTCCTGGCGTCTTCTCTGATTCTATTCGACGTCGGCATGATCACCCTGACTCAATACATTCTTCTGGACCCCCCGCTTCTGTGTTTCATCATGGCATCGTTCGCTTCATGTGTGACCCTGCAGCGATTCGAGCCCTTCTCCAAGCTGTGGTGGACGTGTCTCACGTGTACCGGGGTCTTCCTCGCCTGTTCGATCAGCGTCAAGTTCGTCGGTCTCTTCATCGTGCTCTCTGTCGGTGCTCATACGGCCTGGGATCTGTGGCTGATTCTCGGGGATCTCCGGATGCCGCTATGGAAACTCCAGAAACATTTCCTGGCTCGAGTTCTGTGTCTGATTCTGCTGCCGATCGTGCTGTATACGTGTTTCTTCTATATCCATCTGCACCGTCTTTCGAAAACCGGCAACGGAGACGGGTTCTACAGTTCAGAGTTCCAGGCACGTCTGGAAGGTAATTCCCTTTACACAGCGAGTATGCCGAGACAATTGGCTTATGGCGCGAAAATTTCGCTGAAAAACCACAGAACCGGCGGCGCGTATCTGCATTCGCATTTTCATCTCTACCCTGAAGGTAAGGTCCGCTCCCGAATTCATTCGCGCCTCTCTCTCTCTATCGACACGGAAGCCCTCGATGCCGAGGAGCGAATACCAAGAGATCGATTATTGTCACAGGTGTTGGTGCGCGCCAGCAGCAGGTGACGACTTATTCTCACAAAGACGACAACAATCACTGGATTGTGAAAACCTGGAATCGAGAACCAGCGGAAAACGATACGGTATCCCTGGTGAAAGACGGTGACCTCATCAGACTCGAGCACGTTCAAACAAACCGGAATCTTCACTCGCACCGAGAAGAAGCTCCCCTGACGAAACGCCACAATCAGGTCACCTGCTATGGGGAGAAAGGAGTCGGTGATGCAAACGACGTCTGGCGCGTAGAGGTCGTCAAGGGTGCTGGCCCGGAGAGCGAAATAAACACGGTCACGACGAAATTCCGTCTGATACATTACCTCACCAGTTGCGCACTTCAATCTCACAACAAACAATTGCCAAAATGGGGCTTCGATCAAATGGAGGCAAGTTTGGCAGACAAGGCAGAGTTTCCTTCCAGGTGCCACGATGTGTCCCACCGTCGGCACAAAGTTGTACGGGCTCGAGACTGATTATGAACAACTCTGAATTTTCTTTTTTTTCCGCAGGTGTCCTGCACCCCGAACAAACGCGACAAGAATGCAATATGGAATGTCGAGGACAACTGGTTCTCGAAACTGCAGAGCGAATCGTTCGAGAGATACCGTCCGGGTTTCCTGCAAATGTTCGTCGAATCTCACGCCGTCATGTTCCAGGTTCGTAGATACCATCTTCCGAGAATTATCCTGGAACGACCTACCGACCCACCGCCCGATCCTCACTCACAAACTCGAATTACGACGCCAAGACTTGGATTTCAGGGAAATGCCGGCTTGAAACCGAAAGAAGGTGAAATGACCTCGAGACCCTGGCACTGGCCCATCAACTTGCGGGGTCAGTTCTTCTCCGGTTTCGAGTATCGCGTCTATCTGCTGGGCAACCCCGTCATTTGGTGGGGAAACATCGTCCTACTCGCAGTTTATCTACTCATACAGGTCGGCGTTTTTATCAAGGAGAAGCGCCGAGGTAAACTCGTGGAATCTCACTACATAACCTCCTCGTGTCGATGGTTATTGTTAGGCTGGGCGTTGCATTATTGGCCATTTTACGCCATGGGTCGGGTGTTGTACTTCCATCACTACTTCCCGGCGCTGATGTTTAGTTCAATGTTGTCGGGAGTCATCGTAGATTATTTGATAGATCTCTTCGTCCCTCAAAGGCACAAATCCTGGGCTTATGCGGTTTTTCTGCTCACCATATTGTACAGCTTCTTCATCTTTTCGCCGCTCGCCTACGGAATGCAGGGGGCGACGGCGAATATGCCCAACAGTACGATGTATGGTCTCAGATGGCTGGAAACCTGGGAATTCTAGGCCCATCTAGAGATCCGATATCGTGCTCCTCGAACGTTTCGGAAAACGCGCTCCAATCACGAGCGTGCTCAGTGCAAATATCAAACGTCGTGAAACCCGTGTATATTTTAACTTATTCTCGGAGGACGACTCCGACCTTTGACCACCCAATAAACGTCGGGATGAGGATGCCTGACCCTCTCTAAATAATGAAGCCGGACTTTCCTCGCCGGTAGTAATCCTTGTGCTAGTGCGCGAACATCGACAGACTCTTCGATTGAGGGTCGCATGGTGAGGATCGGTCATTGTTTAATATTATTATAATTATTTTTTACAACGTCCTTGGTCCCAAGCTGCTATCAACACGTCAAGGAATCACTTTCATTTCACACCAAATAAAAGCTCTGTCGATTATATCGCCATTGGTCCGCCACGCGCTCCGCTACGAAGATTTTTCGTCCCCGCTGTCATTACTGTTCTGAGTTTCGTCGAGGTTCACCTCGTCTTCGTCGGAGTCCATTTTGTCACTATCGCCTTCGTTATCACCCTCGTCATCGAGATCTCCCTTTTTACCTGACGGAGATTCGTTGCTCTCCGCACCTTCCTTCTTGGGTTTTCGTTTCCGCTTTGGGATTTCATCGATGGCACTAAGGTGTGGAAGATCGCCAGTATAGAGATCTCCTAATTCACACTTTTCGAAAAATACAAAAGAGCAATAGCCATCGGTAGAAGACGCCAACAGCTTCGAATTATCAGGGGACCAGGTGAGGTCGGATATACGTGCATAGTGAGCGTCGGCGATCATCGCGAACGGGGTGAAGGTTTCCGTGTCACACACCATGATCGAGTCGACGGTCGCAGCCGCGAAAATCATTCTATACGGCAGCTTGATAACCGTTTCGGAACCGGGTTCTCTACGTGTCTTGTAGAACTTCTTCGAGAAGCGCACTGTCGTCGTGAATTTCGTCGCCGTCGGTATGTAGGCTATCGGCTTGGAGAAATCGCTCCGATGGAAGATGTACACACAGTTCGTTAGCTTTCCATCCTTCTCTATGACTCCGGACGGTGCGATTAGAAATTCACCATCAGGCGAGAAGTCCGGTCGACGGCAGAAGGATTTCAGGGTATCATCGTAGAACAATCTCGTAGATAGCCTGCGGAAATCGATAGAGATGTCAATTCAACGATCCTCAACGACTACGGTCGGATACGGGAAAGCTTGAGCCGAGACACGATGGAAGCTCGCAATTTCTCCCGAAAGAATCAGGCTCGCCGGGGTCGACACCTTCTCTCACTCACTTTGAACCGTCGCCCATGACAACTTCGGCCTTCGATGCAACCCAGACTCGTTTGCGTGTGTGGGTGCTGTAGACATACATCTGACGATCCGAGCTCAACGTGACCACGAATTGTCCGCGCGGGTCGTAGGCCACACCTTGGATGAAACCTTTGCGCTCTTTCAGGAAGCTCATGGAGCGACCGGTTTCCGCATCCCAAATTATAGCAGTCGAGTCCACTGATCCGGAAACGAGACACGAGTCCCGCAGAGACCACTGCAGGTCGCATATGTCTTCAACGTGCCCTCGGAGAATCTGGAGGGGGAAATTCCTTACTGGGGTCCCACTCCTCATGACGAACACCTATTACTACACCATACTTCTCAGTCAGCTTCAAAAAGCTCTTAATCTCGACCCCGAGGCGATGCCCCGTGACCGCGTCCTACCTTGTGGACCTGCCAGTTCTCCTTGTTCTCAGTCGAGTCGAAGAGCTGAGGAGCTTCCGAACTCAGAACTCTCCACAGAATTATGTTCGCTTCATCATCGCCGGAAGCGAGTATTTCTCCAGAGTTCGAGAAACGCACAATGTTAACCGTTCGCTGGTGACGCGTCAGATCAGCGCGGAGCTCGATGTCGATCTAGCCAGAGAAAGGAATGAAGAAGACGGTCGGTAAAACTCTAACCGAAAAATCGAACTCATGAAATGATGATGAAGCTGATCGATCTCCGAAATTGGACACGCCGTGAGCGCAAGTGCACCGGCCGCCGGGGGCCTCTCGAAAAAAACGGCGCCTACATCATGGATAAGAAACAGAACTCCGAAGTCTCACGGTCAATCGGTGCACAGAGAATCACAGACGTGCAGAAGGGGACATGATCGTCGAGGTTGTTCATGATCGTGGTCACCAGTCAAAAGATTCGCGCCGAAACCGGAATATCCACATCTGCACCCACCTGCTTGTCTTTGTTGCCGTCGGCTTCCAGCTCTAATTTCAGCCACCAGATCCTGATGTGAGTGTCAGTGCCACAAGTTGCTATGCGCAGTTCCTTGTCATCGTTCTTCGGTTGGAAATCCACGCTGAACAAGGGGCTGGTGTCCAACCACCAGGCCAACTGAGGTACCAAACACTTCATTCCACACAAGATGCTCTTCTGTTTTTTTCAACGAGAAAAGTTTCGCGTGTGGTCTTCCCGACTAGCCGACCGAGGAACCAATCGGCCTCACTGCGAGCCCGATCGCAACTGTAGTAGGGAGACGATCGGAAACTGCACCGAGATCGACTATGACTAAATGAAAGAGGCTCGGCGCCCCGACCACTCAGAAAAAAAAAAACGTTGTCAAATCTCCGAATGTTTTGAGGATCCTTGCTCAGAGCGCTAACGCTGGACCGCCAAAAGTGCATTTCGCGCTTCTTCTTCTGCGTGCGCGTCGGGGTTTCCGGTTACAAGTTTTGTTCGATCACCGCGTCAGCCCACGATCGCAGTCAACATTCATCAGAGACTTTCCCGGGAGACCCGGAAGCCCGAGATCCGAGCTCCGGGAATCCATGCGATCCATATTTTGGAGAACTTCTCCAGCTTCTCCATTGCCTTCTCGTATTGAATCAGCAACTTCCGGGTGCTTGTAAACAACATGGCGACAACATGGCGGCACCCAAGAGCGATATTTCTCGCAAACGCAGCTGAGTGACGGACGCGAACTTCTGCGCGTTTGAAACCCGCACACGCCGGCTGTCGTGAAAAGATGCTGTGCCGAACCTGATCCCGGATGTTGGAAGAATACCAATGTGCGGCGACGGTGCAGCACCACGGCGAAGCACCGATGAGTCAACTAGCTGTGGGGTAAGCCTGAAGTCGAACCGGTATTGGGGCGCGGTTCACCTCATGAGGGGCACTGACAGCTGTTCGGATCCGTTCGTTGTCTTGACAGGCGTTAACGGATCGCTGTACGGGAGCATTGAGCTTAGAGTCCCGATCCGCAACTTGTTGCCCCGAACTAGAGCCCATCCCGACTCTTGCTCCGACATCTCCCGCTTCCTCTGATCGATATTCCGTAGAATTCTCCCCACCCGTGGAGAACATGGTGTCGTCGGCGTCACTGGCACTCGAGCTCTCGGTCGAAGATCTTCACTGCCAGTCGGCTAAGATCCAGACGCGAGGCAGAGCCGTCTCTCTGTAAATTGGCTGCATCGCACCATCTCCTGACAACCGACTTGAAACTCCGTCGAAAATCACTGGAGGGCTTCCTGATCAATGACTCTCTCGGGAGAGAGACTTTCTCCTTTAACCCCCCATATGATGTGGGCGGAGAAGGATAGGTGGGGCGGGGGGAAACCTGATTGGATTAAAGCTCCCGATCTTTGCAGGATAGTACACACTCGTACGACTTCGAGCGATCGATGACCTGATGGGACACTAATCAGCATCGGAGATGATGTTGGAGCGTTGGATTCGTGCCAGCAATGCTCTCCCGCCCCGGGACATCGTCTGAATGCTGAGTTGTGAAGAACCCAACCAAAGATATTCCACCTCCTACAAATGAACAAATCGAAAAGCTTTAAGGAACTATCCCACGAATATACTCTCAACGCTAGCCACGAGAACACTATGGACGTGCTTGCACCAAAGTAACGAAAACTCACCCGCTCACTTCAACGGCTAGAAGCTTTTCTACACTGCATCATCATCGAGGCCGGTCAGAGTAATAATGCCTCAACTCCAACTCAAAGAAGAAGATATCGTGTGCCTTATCCTTGAGTATCTTCAGAAGAGAGATCTCGGTGAGTCGTCTCGGCTCGGTCATTCTGGTTCTCTCCCGAACTGACTCAATTATTGTGATATTTTGAAGAATCTATGATGGATCATAATTTATTTATAAGGCTCCGGTAATGCACTCGCAGCCGACTGTTAAGAATTCTCGCAGCGAGCAATGTACATGCTGGTGTCGAAGCGACAAAAGACAAAGCATTCCCACCGGAGACGTTTAACTCATCTGCGTTTCCTCCCCCCTCTTCCAGGCATTAGTCAACTCGCGCTAGAAAGAGAGACGGGTCTTGTAAATGGAGTCTTCTCCGACGATTTGCTATTCCTCCGTCAACTCGTACTGGACGGACAATGGGACGCAGTTTTGGATTTCGTACAACCGCTCGAGCACGTAGAATCATTCGACGCCAGGCGGTTCAAATATGTTGTTCTCAAGCACAAATTTCTCGAACTGCTGTGCATACGAGGTGAAACGGGATTAATTCAGCCGAATGAGTTGAACGTCGACGATATGGTCTCATGTCTCAACGAGTTGGAGGGCGTCGCCCCATCTAAGGAAGCCTATAATTCACTGTGTCTTCTGCTAGCATATCCGAAACTGTGTGATCATATGGACTATAAGCACTGGAACCCCAGCAACGCAAGGTGAGACTTCCGGTAAATCGTCCGCGGATTCTCGGACCGTGATTTGAGGAGTCCATTCCGGGAGGAATGAGTCATGCGTCCGAAAATACCTATTATTTCGTTTCCGTTCCAGAATACGTTGCTTCGCGCAATTGTGTCCCTTAGTGGAGAAGTTCTTGCCAGCTCCAACCCAAGCGTCGAATTCGACCTTGTTCTCGAAGCACGACCGATTAGTTCAACTGGTGATAAAAGGTCTGGTGTATGAGACGTGCGTGGCTTTCTGTCAGATCAGGGCGACAGGACAGCCGGCTGACGGAGCCAAAGGAATTCAGTTCGGATCTGTCTTCAGTAACTCGAATGGTGAGTGCTCGGCTCAACTTTCGCCGAGCGGAAGCTTTATATCGTTCAGCATTCGGGATCCATCGGAGGAGAGTTTCAAATGGAAAACGGGAGCAAATATTCGGAGACCATTGATCCAAGAGCCCGTCTCGTTTCAGGATTCTCCGGTGCGGATCTCGGACTCTTCTCGTGGTTGCAAGCGCTCCCGGTCGAGTCGTTCAGTCACCCGTTCGAGCAGAAGACTCTGAAAATCGACGTGACTCAAATGGAAAAACCAGTCCTAGACGCTCAATGGGCGGAACACATCCTCGGCACTCCGATCAAACCCCGAGCGGTGTTTCCTCACTCGCACGTTCCTTTCCAAAGATCGCAAGGTGGAATGGAGATGATGTCACGGTCGTTGATGATGTTGACATCCATGGAGCAGAGCCGCCTGTCGGTGTCCGGTATTTTATCGGGATCGACGTACGGGGATCTCTCAAAGAGCAGCTTTCATTTGACGGGAACAAAAATCATGACGACGTCGGTCGACAAGCTCTTTGCAAGCACAACGGACATCGCTCTCACGCGGAGCACCGTCAACGAATCTCAAACTCCTCCGAAAAGCTCGCCTCAGCACAAGGAGGCTCCGTCAGAGGATCAAGCGGAGGATTCGCATGTGCTGTGGAAAGAATTCCAGAAACAACGTCAGAAGTTGGAAACTCTCGTCGAAGATGTCAAAGTACCAACGGCTGAGGTTGCGTCAAAACCTCCGCAATCGACGAGCGCCGGAACAAAACCAGCGTTCGCTCCGTCTACGTCGAAAAATTTCACACAAGAACCCCCAACGAGAGGTGAGCTGAAGCTTTCCCGTGCTCGGATGTCCCGCCGACGCGTCGAGAAACGAGAAGTACCGTCCTCGGAGCTTGAGAGCCCGAGATAGCGCTGATTGTTTTTTCAAACCTCAGAGAATCGAGCGTGTGCTGGACCCTTGAGTGCCGCCAAAACTGCTTCCCCACCGCCGCCAGCAAGACCTCTGAACTCCCACTCGCCGAGCATGGCGTCTCCTCCGACGGGGGTCATGACGTCTTTGAGAGATTCCAGAGCTTCCCAGGTGAGATCGAGATTCGCTCGTATTGTGATCGTTGTACTCATCCGTATGGCTATTATGATTATGAGGAGTGTTACTGATGAATTTCATGGCCTTCCGAAAAGTCGTGAACGTTTCGTGTGAGTTCGATTAGGGTTGATTCTCTTCGTAAGCAAGACAGTGTTCCCGCCTTCCAGGTGACCGTGTATCAGTCTGAGCGGAAAGACGAAGACAAAAGGAAGAGCTTTATCGAGAAAGATCAAAGAGAGGAGGAGAGACTGTCCTCATCCCGGAGCTCCTGCAAGTCCAATGACACATCATGGTGAGTCGAGATGTCAACAACAACTTCTACGGCACTTTGGTTATCGCTTGGGAGCGCCAAGTCTCTTTAGCGCGTTCGACTCGCAGGGGCGTCCGATCCGCCTGGAGAGCCCTCTTAACGCTTCGATCTCGTGCCCGTCCTCATCGAGAGTTCCCGCAGCCTGAGCGCTCGATCTTCCGTGGAGCGTGTCTCTTCGATGAGCGCGTCGGACACGACCGGGGAGGACGGCAACTCGACTGAGCCGGTGCCATTGGTAGGGATCAGCACGCTCGAGCGGTTCATACCGACTGCCTCGATTGACATGACGGATCAAACGCAAAGATTTCCATCGAGTGACCGGAAGCCCTACACCATCCGATGCCCGATGGGCGCTCTGAATGAAGCGATATGCGGGGCTGGGATCAGTTGAGGTGTTCATGGGAATATCCGATGGCTGCTTCTGTAATTCTGCTGAAGCGCCGTCGGCAAATCTCTCATCTGATGCTCGTGTATTCCATTTCTCCTCGCAACTACTTCTATTCTGGAAAGCTACTGACCCGGCTCTGAACCGCTGCGATCGGGTTCTTTTTTTATTACTTTGGGCAGAAAAGCAACGGATGCGTTATCTAAAACAATTGTTCCCAAGTCGTTGGCCCATTTCAAGCATCGGCGACCGACGATGGCTGGCTTATTGAGAGTTTCCATCATCGCTTCTGACAGTCGGGAGTCATTGGCAATTCATATTTTATTGGGTGATATTCCACGCATGGATTGATATACGACTGCGCCGCGATGAACGTCTGCAGTCATTGTTCGCCAGAATTTTTCGGTGGAGACCTCTCCTTCCTCGCACTGGAATGTGAAATATCTGCAGTGGCGACGGCTGTTTCCGAAAGAGAAAGCTCTCATCCGCGTTGCGGTTACGATTGTGTGGTCATCGTCACCGCTCGCCCAATGATATCAATGGCAGATTCCATGAGACCTTGGCGAAGGAATAACGGGTCTTCTCGGGTTTCCCGTCGCGCTGTCTCCGGTTTCCCCTTAGTGCCCGAATTGAGAAGTGCGAAGAGCGCATGGGCTGAAGCATCTTCAGGATAGAGGAAAAAACTCGATCGATGAGCGTATTGTTCGAGTATTGTTTGACTTGAGCCGAATGAGACGCCGCAATCGAGTTAGCAACTGATGCTCGAGGTTTGGAAGCGTGGTTTACTGCGCCCCCCACGAGGAAACGATAGCTTGAAATGTTCTTTCGGACAAGCCGTAAAATATTCTTATGTTTCCATCGCTCGCAAGGAAGAGCGATCAACAATGATTCAACGTCTTTAGCGATGGGAAAATGGGCCTGCTCAGCCCGCTCTGTCATCGAGCGCTCGCAGCTGTGAACGGTCCCCCGTACCAGACCACTCTCGTTGCTCGTCACATGATGAGCGCGAATTCCTCTCCGAAAAATCAACCTTCACTAGGGTTCCTGGACTGCTAGTTGTCCAGACGGTCAGTCAGCCACTCAGTCAGTCAGTGAGTCAGTCAGTCGGTCAACCAGTTAAGCAGGCGGCCGGGGCAGCTCAATCAGGAGACGCTACCCGCTCACGCGACAGACGCGGCGGTGTCCGGTTTCAACAACGTGTATTGATCGTGATTCGGCGTCGTTGTCGAGTCCGTTATTCGCGTTTTGACTCGGGTCAATCCTCCTCGTCATCAATGAATGGTTCCGCGGAAAGTTGTTGTTGAAAAGCCGGGCTGCAGGCGGTGGAGACGCCTCACGCGATCTGTACTGGATTCGCACGGAGGCCAACTTTGCCCACACGGCGGCGTAAAAAAAAGCATTGTGAGGCGGATGGACAAAGCGAGCTGATCTCATTCAAACTACTCGTGGCGGTCCGCTTCAAATCGTGATTCCAGAGGTTCGACGTTTACGCGCTTCCAGAATGATTGGGCTTCGACCCCCTCTTTTGACCGGAGGAAAGATCCGGCTCGAGCTTCCGATTATCATCACCAGGAGGCCGCATTCGATATCTGGCGAGTCCTTTGCGCTCGGACGAGGTAGTCCAGGCGGCCAGGTGCTGAACATTACCGCTTCTCCAAGCGGGAAGTTTTGGAAATAATCCGGAGGAGACTTCCAGGAACGTTCGTTAGAAGTCGCAGGAAGATTTCCTTCCAGAGGAGAAATTCCCATGCGGGCTGTTTCACTTCGGGAAGCGGGGGGGAATCGGAAATCCCGCGGGAATGCAAACGGAGTAACGAACGTTGAATCGACGCTGCCGCTCGAACGGTAGCCGGGTGGGGGCGGAAGACAACGCTGTCCACGGTCGTAGTAGCATCTAGATAAACGAAACGGCCGCGATGAAGTTTCTTCGCGCGTTTCTCTGGTAAGCGGCGAGTGAAGGAAACGAGGCATAGCAACGAGCGGGGCATCTGGTCTGACTAGTCATCTGTCCCTGTTCGTATGACGGTGATCCTCGTGTGGCGGACGACGTCGACGCTCCGCAGAACGCTTATCCCTACGAACACTAGACTACCACAGTCGACACCGAATTCGGGAAGTCTGCGGGTCGGGTCACGCTCTGTGAACACGTTCCCCGCAAGAAATCGCGGTGACAGTCGCTATCTGAGAATCCGAAGTCCAGATGAACATGTGGGAGGCGACCACGTTGGCTTCACCGTTTGATTCGCCGACTGGGTCTCGGGAATGCGACACCCGATGGGCCCATGATGAAGAGGAGATATTACCCGGATCGATTTTGACATTTTTGACGCATCGGTGCTCGTTGAGTCTTCTTTCAACGCGGAACTCACTCAGACCGCTCATTGTCCCGTCGTGGGTTGCAATCGCCACGCGGGGCGTAATTTCGGAGCACTTTATCCCGTCTTCTGTCTTTATTATTGTTCATCCGCTATTCGATTAGATTCGAAGCAAAGTGGCGGTTCTGAAAGAATCAAGTCTCGCGTCTGGTTTTCAGGTCCTCCGGCAAGGGATCCACGATGCTTCAAACTTGTCCGAATAGACCTCTGGAGCAGCAACGCGTGAGTAGTGATAAAATCTAGGTGGTGTTCGAATGCTTTCATCCCCTGCGCGCGCATCGAGCAAAGCTTCGTATCACGGTAGAAATATGAAGATGAGCTCTTTGGATTCGATTTTTAATAAAATTGGGCGCGCCTTATCCATTCGACTCCGGACCAGCATCGTTCCAGACCCAGACGCGCGCCTTCTCTGTGTTTTCCACTTGTTAGGAGCTGGACCGGGAACCCCGGAGAATCAGAAGCTATTTCGTGTTTCTGTGGAGTCTTGCGAAACAGGCGGAACTAGCATATATCGGGGACCGGTGTCTTTGGACTTCGAACGGGCGAACGTGGGAGAAGTTTACTACAGGCTGTAGCTGTCGGCAGTAATCACTTTCCCACTTACTTAACAATCAGTAGGCTCGTAACCGGCAAGCTCAGCTTGTAGCCGAGAGTCGACTAGACGGCAACGAACAGACTACGGCGGAACGGCTGGCCAATGGTCGCTCGGGCAATTGTTCTTCTTGAGCCTTCCGGCTGTGAACGACCCCAGCGGGGCTCGAACTCCTCCAAGCAGAAAATTGTCTTGGAACGAAGAAAAGAACAGTTTCTGACGAAATTTGTACCTCTCGTTCGATCGACGAGAAAAACTTTCCACTAAACGTTGAACAAGTTTCACAAGCCGAAACGCGACGCTTCAGCTTCATTCTATTATTATTCATGTACTCGATGAGCTGAAGGGGGAGAGTCCCGTCGCCATTCGACGCTCGAACGATTTCTTTGCGGAAAATCAGATCAATTAATGTCTCCATCGAGAATAATGGCGATCGAAAAACTTATTTTAGTCAAGAACATAAGATAGCACTGTGACGACCACAAATGACCACGCGCATGTAAGAGAATCATCGATCGATGTTGGGGATGATAAGAGCTGGTTTATCGATAAGGACCGAAGTCGGAGCTCTGGTATACGCCCGTGAACGTCCTAGATGGGATCCGAACGATTGAATCAGTCGTGCGAACGTTACGCTCCCACCCTATCTTAACGAACATATCTCTGGATTTCGGTTATAACTATGTAGCGGCTTCTCCGTGGAAACGGCGGGAGAGACGCTGGAAGTCGCGATTTCTCCCGCTGAACTTTCGTGAGAATCCCGAATCACGCTCCTTGACTGAGCGTCTGCTGAAGCGAGTTCGCTGAAATCTCACCAGCACCCCCGCTCAAACTAATGCGTCGGAGATATCTCGCGTCTGCCGCCGCTGATCCCAGCGTTGAGGCCCTGTTGTCGCGTTTCCTCCGCTCCCTTTCGGCGTGAAATCCTTCCCTTGCCTGTGGTAGATTATTGTCGAGAATGATTCAAGACTCTCCAGGGGCCAAGGAGGGAACAGAATAAGCTAAAGGCTCGGGAAAGGAGGAAGAGGGCCCTAGTTTCGGGGGGGGGGGAATTCCTATTTCAGGCCTCGGGAATGCAGTAGCCGATAAGATGCTCAGAGTAAAAACCGACTTCAGTGAGCGCTTGGTTGAATTAGCCATGATCATGGCGAGAAACTCGATATGGCAATCTGAGCGTTGAGCGAGATGCCTACGATGCGTAGAATAACATTTCGTAATGAGCAGTGTTCCGCTGAAATCGCGCCGGCAGAAGACGTTCCGATGCGTGCGGGGAGATCAGTGTCGACGACTCGCCCGACTTTCACTTTTCCTACAAGAGACGCCGACGCGCATCCTACTGCCTGGCAGTGAAGATTCTCCGCTCAGCTAGTCTTGCCCACTGGGGCATTTATTGAAATTATTTCCACACGGAGCCGTCCGGCTCGCTCACTTGCCGGCCAGCCGGCCAGTCGGTCAGTCAGAGAAGAAGACACTTGGATAGTTTTGACTGTAAGAACAATTATGCGCGCTCGCCTGCTTCTCGATCGCTCCTGATTTCGTTACTTTACATCAGCTGACCGGAAAAGAGAAAATAACTTAGGGCGGTTCCTATCTGTACAGAATGAACTACCGAGCAAAGAGTCCGTGGCGATCTATGCACTTCCGAGAAATCATAGGGCGACAAATGTCGTCGCGGATTCCCTGTCGAAGTCGATTGTTCTCCCTCTCGAGAAACTTGTTCCACTGTCAGGTGGGGAATTGGCACTAGAATGCTGGTCGGTTTTTCCGATCGGTCATGAAGAACATGCCGTTGTTGAGACTGGTGAGTTTCTGTAGAGTTTCTCGAGCCGCTTTGAAGTTGATCCGATCGTCCTCTTCCTCGCGAGTCCCTTCCCGGATGGTTTTCTCAATCATGCCGGTGGTTCGAACAGGGGGTTGGGGTCTGCCATCGGGCAAGGTTGACTTCAGCTCGGGCGGGGCGGAAACACTTTTGACGATTTTCGGTTTGATACAAGCTTCAGAATCCGGTGGGGTTTTAACCGTGTCCTCCGGGGCAGAGTTCGGGATTGTTGGCATGGCTCGATTGGAAATCTGTCGCAGAAGAGGATTCGTTCCGTCGTTGGTGAATTTCTTAAGAGCTTCGCGCGCTTTCTTGAAGTCCAGCGCTTCCATGTCCACCTTTGAATAGCCTTTTTCGGGCTCACTGACGGGCTGCAGGGCTCCGACTCCCTCGTCCGGAGGTGAGCTCGGTGATTCTTCCGCACAAACATTCGAAGTAGGACTTGGTTTGGCTTGAGTTAGGACACCAGATGGCCGAGTTTCGAATGTCGGCAACGGCAACTCGTTCTCGGGTTTGGTCTCCTTGCGAAGATCCAGGGTCAGATAGGGCTCTCCCGGAGTGCATGTCGCTTTCCTCCAGCCACCTGTCTTGTGCAGTTTGGTTATGACTTTTTGGATCTCGGTCCGGATCGAAATTTCGTCGCTCTCCTCATTTATTGGCGTAATTTTCCTCTCGGAGACGTCTCTGAGCTTGGGCATCTCGAACATGACTTTCGACTCCTCCGCCTCCTCGTCTTTGGCCGGTTCTGCGCGAGTTTGAGGGGTTGTCGTGGCATCCGGAGCGTTGTGCGTAGGTTCCGTTGTCGATCGTTTTAACGCTGGCGACGAATGAGTTGATGGGTTGGACGGTTCTCTGATGTGGATTTTTGGCAGTTCCACTCTCGAAGTGCTTTCCGCTTGATTCGGGACCCCCGGTCCGGGCTGCTTTGAAGCGGGGAGTTCTGGGCTTGTCTCCACAGCCGTAGTTTCGGGCTGCTCCTGAGAATCGTCGTAGAAATCGATTTCATCGTTTATGAGAGCTTCGATCCTCTTTAGAGGTGGGGGAGGGGGCGGTGTGGTGGAGTCTCGCATTCGGGCCGTGAGGTCGTAGAGTTTCATGTCGCTTTTGTTCACCTTCGAGTACGCGTTTCTCCTCTCGATGGAGTTGAGCGGACTCGTTCTCGGTATCTCGGTCAAATTGTGGTTGGATAGGTTTAAGGAGCGCAGCATCACTTTCGAGGGGGAGCACTGATCTCCTTTACAATCGTAAAGCTCACTGCTGTCTGTGGTTTCCGAATCGCGTCCGAGATCGTGGGAAGTGTCCTCTGGACCCCCGGTCCTGAAATCCTCGTCGTTGAAGGGACTCTCTCTCTCCGGATCGGATGTTCTCCTCGGGGGCAGCTCTCCGTAGAGTCCTTCGGAGTAGATGTCTTTCGGGGGCTCGACGTCCCCATCGTTCTGGTTCCGCTGACGGGGTTTCTTGAAACTTCCGACCGGGGAAGCGCATTCGTTGCCGTCGTTGACGAGCTTGTTGTTTCTTCCGATGTTGTCGCTGAGGTCGCCGTCTTCCATGTCCTCGTAGGTATTTCCCGACGGAGACGATCGCCCTTCCCATATGGCACCAAAGGCTGACTCGTTTTTAATTTCCTCGCGCGCGTAGTATATTCCCTCCCGGTAGTCCCCGTACTCGGGCTGTTTTCCCCCCTCCGGCTCGACTTTCGAGGGTACGTCGAGATCGTAGTCGTTCTCGGGCTCGAACGGTGCGGCTTGAACGCCGTCTTTGAGTTTCTGAAGCTGGGAGGCGACGGTTTTCGACGATCTCTGATCCGACTTCCGTGAACTTCCGACCGACGACCCGTTACCGATGCTCGAGTTGAGCGAGCTCTTATCGATACCGCTGTCCTTCTCGCTCACATCGGACGCTATCGGTCGCTCCGAAGTCATGCTCTTCAGCACCGAAGGCAGAGAGAACTTTTCGGAGGCGGAATGAATTTCAGCGCTCACTTGACTCGTAATGCTCGATCGAGAACGATCGCTGTGCTGATTATCGGAATAGTGTGACGCATAGGGGCTAGAATGCTCATCCGAGAGACTTCCTACAGAAGCTCTTCGGCGTTGTTTGATCTGTTTTCCTTTTTTGTTGTGTCTTTTGGCCAGTTGCTGATGTTTGCTGTTTATCGAGTGTCCGTGGATGGGGCAATCGGGCATCGGCGTCAGGAAAATCTGGTGCCCCGTCTGAATGTATTGGTTGTACCGGACTAGAAGGTCCCACATCTCCTGCTCGTTGTAGAACTCCCACGTGTTGAACAGAGCCATTTGGCGCTCGACGAGCTGGAGTCGCCTCCTTTTCTCGACCTCTTCTTTGTAAGCCTCGAACTGACGTCGCTCGAAAACTTCGATATTCGGAGGTGCACCCACGATCGTGGAGCCTTTCTTTTTCGATTTCCTAGAGATCTGGGTTATCGGGAAGCTCCTCGGCTGATGTTCATCCGGTGCAGCGATTTTCTGAAAAGACGTCGCCGGAGTGGAAATGCTCCGGAGACCCTCCTTGAAAGCCTCGAGGTTCTCAGCTGGCTCTTCCAAGAGGTTCGGGGGTTTGAGTTTCCGAGGATCCCCGTCCTTCGGAGAATCCGAGTGCGCGAAACAACACAATGAAAACATGGTCATCCGCTGACAGACGATCCTACTGACGGTGATTAATCCATTTCGATCACGGAACACCAATAGTCACTTCACTTCACGATTGTCATTCCCTCTTAAACACTGGTGACGTTGATGGCGCCGCGACGGCGGCGGCGATGTCGACGACGCTGATGTGACGCTCTAGTAAAGGCTAGGGCTCTTATTTTTGTCT